TTTAAAAAGTAAAAACAGCAGAAATACACACACACACATTGCTGTTTTACACGCAGTAGGCTTTCGCGAGCAATATTATCTATAATACAGGTTTTTTATTTTCTCGGTTAGAGCACATAAATGTGTCGTTAAACCCGCCACCACCCGACATAGCCAATTAGTAAAGTTTTTCACGTTCACAGAACGTGTCAATTCGTTACTAGTACAACACCACCGGTTGTGTGTTGGAGAGTAAATCCAGAACATTTACAACCTGAGTACGACATTTTGCCAACGATGGATGAAGCTGGTTGTCATTACCGGTGAAACGCCGTACTCCGATTGAAAAAGCTGTGGATTGGCTCTCCAACACACAACCGGTGGTGCTGCGCTGGTAACGAATTGGCCACGTCCCGTTTACGTGACAAACCTTTGCTCAATTGGCTGTGCCGGGTGGTGGCGGATGTAACGACGCACGTTTATATTTACGCGATCTAACCCCCACCCCCCCCCCCCCCCCCCCCCAAATAAAAAACACAACAACCTGCGTTATGGACCACATTGCTCTATGGCGGGGCGTCTCTCAACGCTGTCGCCGAACGATCGACGCGCGTTTCTTTCGTCGCGGCACCCAGACGAGCGTGAGCAACGTGGCCAGCTCGGTCAGCTCGGCGGCGACGTCACGGTCGGCAACTCGCCAAGGACGCGCTCCCCCCCCCACCCCCCCACCCCGACCATAGCCCCGAGGCCCCGGCCCGGAGGGGATAGCTGCCGAAACACGTCGCGGGCCGAACGACGGCGCGCCCGCCACAAAACCGAACCAACGTTGCAGCAACGGGAGAAGTAACAAACAACGTCACCGGGGGCCCTTTTTTGTGTATCAAAGTGTGAAAAACAAAAGGTTTTCTGACCCTTTCTGGCAATAAGATGTTCGAACACCAGAGAGACAGCTCTTTGCGAGGCATCAAGTTCTGCATTAGCCACACACACACAGAGTGCCTGTGATGAACATGCAAACACAAGTTTAAGTGGTTTTTACACTACTCGAGTCTTTGCAAAAGGCATCAATTTGGCGTTCCAACATCTCAACACCTCCCGTTTTATTGCCGGAAAGGGTAAAAACTATTCTCAATTTTTGACGATGCGTTCGGCTTCTCGCTCTCGTAGAGAGAGAGCGAGAGAGAGATGGCGGCGTCGACTCAAGAGAGGCGCGAGCAGGACGAGGAGACGCCGCAGGCGAGCCGGGGAGGCAGCGATTGCCCAAGCTCTGCGGTCCTCGATGCACGAAGGCGTTACCGGCCAACTGTTCGTTACTTGCGGCGGGAAACTGGCGCGCTCGGGAGAAAACCCACGCGGGCGAGGGGGAAACGCTCTATCCCATGCAGTCGGAGCAGGTGGGAGGCCACATTTCCGTTGTCACCGCCTTTCTCCTGGCGAGCCAGAGGTGCACACACACACACGGCTCCTCCTCGACACCCACGGGAACGGAGTGCGGTGGATCCACCGACGTCGGTGCCGCGACGCACCGACGTCCGTCAAATTGGTGAACGAAAAAAATACATCTTAAACATGGGCTCGCTAAAAAAAAACTGCTTCAAGTCGCCAACATTTTTTTTTCTACATACCGAGACGAACTTTTTGGGGATTTAAAATTAAGGGGGGGGGGGAAAAGAAAAAAAACTCAACTCTACGAACACGAATGTGTGGCAATGCGATTCTCTATTCCTGGGGCGTGCTCTTAAAACAGGTTAGACCTTAGGCGGACCGCAAAGCTGTCGCGGTTTTTACGTTTGTTCATTGTCACGAACGATGGGTGGGATTAGACATTCATAAAAACGCACGCCCCAAAGGGGAAAACGACACACTTGAGGATTCACTCGGCAATTGCTCGACCGGACATACGCTGTACAAAAAAAGGCATTTGTGATCATTGATACCTACGTGAAGATGAGACTCGCGATGTCATTTTTTTTTTTTTAAACATTGTCCCGGTGCTTGTATTTTATTACTTAGATGGGAATGTTTTTTTTTTATTATCAAAGGATGCTCTTCGTCGTGTGCTTGTGATTTCAGCGGTTTGTTTACAAGGGTCGCTCGCAAACAAGAACAACAACAGCAAACCATTCGACAAGTGCAGCCACGAAATCCAGCCGAGCACTTTTCTCCCCAGCCCTCCCCCCTTAAAAAAACATTAATTCTCAAGCGGCTGCCCTCTCGGACGATTCCAAATTAATCCCAAACCAAAGCGAATTTCTCCAGTCGGCACCGACGGGAGCGTGAACACGTCCCACGCCGGGCGTTGTCTTTCTTCCCAAACGCGATTGAAGCGCGTGGATCCGGATCGTTTTTCCCCATCGGGAGACTTAAAAGGGTAATTGTAAAGCAAAAAACGTGCTCGCGATCGGACTTCGGAGGAGAGCGTAACGACGAGCCTCGTGCCGATAACCCGATGCCAGCCTAACTGCTCTCGCCGCCCGATCATCGGTAGCTGTGCGTGCGCGTGTGTGCGTGTGTGCGTGCGTGCGTGCGTGCGCGTGTGTCGAGACGTTGAACTTCTTTCGCGCCGTACGTAGCCAACCGTGCTAATCGGAAGATGCGGTCTGTGTGTGTTGAACTTCTTTCGCGACCGTACGTAGCCAACCGTGCTTATCGGGGGGAAACCAAACAAAACGATTTCACACACACCCCCACCCCCCCCCTGTCCCCCCCCCACCTCCCCTCCCCAAAAAATAAATAACTTTACATCCTTCACCTCTATTGCACTGGCGGCAACGTTCACCGCCAGTAAACAAGACACAAGCACCCCGGCAGGCCTCCCCCCCCCCTGCCCATCCCCAACCCTTCAGCATCGACATCCTCCAGCGGTAAAAATTCCACTCGGCCTCATCATCACGTAAGCAACGGGAACCCCCCCCCCCCCGACCACTCGCCCGCCCCCAAGCCATTCCGCCGGTACAATCGAGGGTCAGAGGAGGGGGCTTCCATATAAACGAAGACATTATCCCTGCACTTTAACTCAACTCCGCACGCACGCGCGCGCGAACGCGCAACCGACAAGCGACTCTTGTTGCGGCTTCATTATTTTCAAAGGCGTAAACCTCCCCGCGGCGTTCGTGAGAACGACCGGCGGCGGACGTTGCGCGTCGGGTAAAAAGTGCGGGCCCCGTTAACAGACCAAAAAAATTAAAAATAAATGGTTGTAAAAAGCGTTTCTCGAGGGGTCCGGACGCGTGACGACGTGGGTTCCCGCACCTTAAAAAAAAAAAAAAAATTCTCACGACGAGGGCGGCGGGGACTTGTGAGCAAACGCGGACGCCGCGAACCGGGACGCAAAGCGGAAGCGGTTCAAAGGAACCCGGATTCGCCTTTGAACGGCGCGACTGTAACAGAGCCCGACAACGCCACGCGGGAACACGTCCCACCCACCCCCCCCCACCCACCTTCGCGATTCCACTGTTGCCCACAACGTTACGATTACACTCCCCCGTCCACATCGTCATGATTCCACTCGTCCACGTCGTCACGATTCCACTCTCGTCCACACCGACACGCGAGTTGGGACAACGCATCCGCCAACAACGTTCCATCCACGCCCAATGGAGAATCGCTTTGCATTCGCACCTTGCCATAAACGCTCGGCAGGGGCAACGCTTCGAAGGAACGCCCGCGGCCGACGTAACATCCACTTGGGGGTGCAGAGGGCCCGCTGGAGCCCAGCGAGACACCGACTCTTGCGCGCGAGCGATCGGCCGACGCGTGTGACGCGAGACTGAGAGTCAACGCGACTTGAATCGCAAGCGCCCGAAATGAACATGGCACGCGACACAAAGTCCATCGCCAAGCGCCGCCGCCAAAAAACGTGAATGGCGAATCAAGTATCGCGGCCTTCACACGTTCGTCCCTCCGCATACAAAATAACAAAAATGTACACGACCCATCAGCTGCACAGGATACCTGGGAATGCACCGCATCAGCACAGAATTGGTACAACGCGAGCAACACCTCTGGATCGGTTGGGACATTCAGTGTCTCGTCAGCGGACAGGCTTACTTTGAACCAATGCTGGTGAACTTCCAGATGGGTCCAATGTCTATTCATCCAGAGCCATACAAATCATTTTATTCACACACACACACACACCAATACATTGCACACATGCACATTACTACATACACACACACATTACTACATCCATACACTCACACTACTACATACACACATTACAAAATGCACACACATTACTACATCGACACATACTACTACATCCACAAACGTTAATACATCCACACACACTACTTCATACACACACTACTAAATACACACACACATTACTACATCCACACACGTTAATACATCCACACAAACTACTTCATACACACACTACTAAATACACACACATTACTACATTCACACACGTTAATACATCCACACACACTACTTCATACACACACTACTAAATACACACACACATTACTACATTCACACACATTACTACATCCACACATATTACTACATCCACACACACTACTTCATACACACACTACTAAATACACTAACACATTACTACATCCACACGCACCAACATTACTTCACACACACACACATTACTACATACATACACACACATTACTACATCCATACACATACACATTACTGCACGCACACACACACATTCGTACATCCATACACAAACATTACTACATCCATACACAAACATTACTACATCCATACACAAACATTACTACATCCATACACACACACACACACATTACTACATCCATACACACACACATTACTACACACATACATTACTACATACACAAAAACAAAGATTCCCCCCCATAGTCTTAACAAACTGTTGTGGCAATGGCTATGAGTGAGCACCTATGAAGGCCAGCAAAGCACACGAGGGGGTGGATGGTCAGCACCACACCCTACCCACCTTTATCTCCCCGGTGACGATGTTTACACACCGCACCAGGGACTCGTTTGAGGCCGAGTTCGCCTAGGGGAGGCCCTGGACCGGTTCAGATAATCTTCACTGGTGTTAGTCGTGAGCGGGAATCAAACCCGGGTCTCTGCCGGGTTCTTAGCGCATCGTAGCGCTAACCGCCGCACTAAAAAGCTCCCCACTACAACCACACGCGTTACTGCAACCACAACGGGCGCACACGCACAAGTCGAGCGAGTGGTGAATGTAACCCGAGCTGTGGCACCTCACCGCTGCCTGTGGAGTGGCAGACGCTGTAGCGAGCGCAAGAGCAATTTTGTCTCTCGTGTACGCCCAAACGCCATGAAAAAATTCACCTGCCATTGCCGCATTTAAAATCGTCCGATAGGTGAGCGTTAGTTAACGCTGCCAACGTGTGGCCTGTTAAGTCGTCACCTTCAGCCAAACGTTTCGACACACGGCCTAACCGATGTGGAGCCGTGCCTTCGCGAGAGCGCAGGGGGGGCAACGGTGTGGGTAGCAAAGAGGTCATCTGAACCCCCTTAGCCTGTCTAGCGCCTCTCCTGGGGTCAACCCAGCCTCTAAAAACCTGCTACCAACGCAGCCTCTGTGGACATCAGCAGCGGGGAGACAAAGGCAGGCGAGGCGCGGCGGCGACAGGACCTGCCCCGCTTGTGCGCCAGCCGTAATAATGGGTGCCCTCTGTGGGCTATGGAGGAGGTCACGTTCCTCTGTAGTCGACAAGGCCCAAGCGGGGGGGGAGAATAGGTGTCCGTGTGAACGTCGTTCCCTTAATGACAAAACACGAGCGGGACAGTGTCAACGCAATCGCGCTCCGTTTCCGACGCCGTCCCGCTCGCGACGCAAACAACGCGACATTGTCGGGACGGATGTCCTATCGTAAAAGCAGCTATCGTGATCACGTGACGCGAGGTGGGGACGACGAGGGGCCCACGAGGCTGCGGGCCTGACGGGATGAACGGACGGATGAGGTCGGATTCTCATGCTCTCTCGCTCAAGCGCCGTCACTCTGCCACGACGTTTCACGTACTCGTCACCCTGTATCTGTCACGCGCTCTCGCGTTACACGCCCAGCTCTGGCACTTCTCCTCTCTCTCTCTCTCTCAATCTCCCACGCCCACCTCTTAACCTTCCCTCTGCAAAAAAACCCCTTCCCATCGCTGCCCTCCCACTCTCGCCGTTGCCCCTCGCTCGGCCCGTCAACACACTCTCTCTCTCTCTCTCCCTGTCTCGCACGCTCGCACTCCCGTCAGCCCAATCAACGTTCCACTCGCTCAGAAAATTGCTCTCTCCCTTGGCAAGACTCCTCGCTCTACATCCCCACCACCTCTCGCCGCCGCCACCGCTTTGCTCATCCCTTGAGAGGGGCCCACTTGAGGCAGGACGAGTCGATGGCCTTGTCGTTTGCCGGCTTGCGGGCTTCCTTGTCGAGCCAGTCGTCGATGATGTCCTAGCCACGCGCGTGAGAGAGAGAGGAACGTCAAACGCGCAAGACTCACGTTGGGAAAATCTGCGACGCGCGTCCAATCGTCTCATTAAACCCTTTCCCGTTCCGATGACGTACGTGTATGGAACCGCAAAAAAACTCAAATAACTTCATCGGTACCGAGGCTTCAACAAAGGCCATGGCGGGAGGGAGGGCGTGCGGCACAGTTTGGCGCCAGCTATAGTAGAGCGCGGTGGTGTCGCTCCGGTTCTCTGCGGTAACGTCTTTAAAAACAAGGACGCTACGCCTCTATAGATAAAATTAACGCTGAACCGCTCACGCGTTTCCGAGATTCAGCGGTGAACGGGACACCCACCCCGCGACTTGCAGACATCTCGAAATGGGAAAGGGTTAATTAAATAGTTTGCATATTTCACATGTAAATTGGATCAAAATGTAGCTGCAGCAAAGTGTTTGGAACCACCGAGTTTCCTGCCTTGTCAATGTAACTTTACGAATTTCAATTTTTTTTCCATTTGCAATTGTGGACCGCTTTAGATGTTTCCTGCCGGCCAAGCCACCCCCCCGTTGAAAAAGAGCGTCTTAGCACACTCGGCTTTACTCCATGCCCCGGGGGGGCGGGGACCACGTTGATAGTCCCCATATACCACAGGGGGAACCATGGGGACGGTCCATATCTCATCTCATGGGGGGGACTACGGCTACGGGGACGGTCCATGTCTCACAAGGGGGACCAAGGGGACAGTACATGTACCAAGGGCGGGGGGGGGCACAGGGATGGTCCATGTACCACTGAGGCAACCACAAGGACAGTCCATGTACAACGAGGGGGGGACCACGGGGACATTAACAGGGACGGTGCGCCATTCATTTCTGGAGTTATTGTTTCATGAACTAAACCTAAACTTTGATTTAAAGCTTTCGTGACTGCAGGGATTCATATTCTTGGTTCTTTCGGTAAAGTCACGTAGAAGGGAAACAATAAAATAATACAAATATAAAACAATAAAATTCTCACGACGTTTCGACTGCAACACAAGCAGTCATCATCAGGTGTGAAAACCACAACAAAAAAATTTGTGGTTTTCACACCTGTGGTTTTCACACCTGATGATGACTGCTTTTGTTGCAGTCGAAACATCGTGAGAATTGTTTTATATTTATATTTTGTTTCCCTTCTACGTGACTTTACCGAAAGAACCAAGAATATAAACCTAAACTATTTACATTTTATGAGGTATGGCCCACTGAGCCATTACGGCTCTTTTTAGGAACGACCTGGCCACAAATGATAGCTCAACAAAGTGGCTTATCATGTGGAAATGTATAGCAGCCAAATACTCTCAACGCGTGTTTCTAAATGTGGAGGGAAAAACCGGAGAAACATCCAAAGCGAACACAGGGAGAACGGCAAAACTACAAATATACAGCAGGCGTCAGGGTCGGTATCAAACCCACGACCTCCTGCATACCAGGCGAGGGAGTTAACATCTCCTAGCCATCAGGGCGCATCAAGACGACGGGCAACGCGTCCGCGAACGTGACAGCCGTCTCTTTCGAATAAAAGCTCTCAACTGCGAATGGAGATCAGCTCAATTTGTGGAAAGTGCAACAGCGGGTGTCACGAGGCTAGACTTGATCCCTGCCAGAGGAACATGGAATTTCAGGCGCACTTCCCTTTCACAACGCGGGTAAAAGCCACCGAGGGCCAAGGCTTGTCGTGTCTCGCCAGCTGAGCCGGCTGAGCACACACACCTCACAGAGGTCAAGAGGTTAACAGTGAAATCCCTCGAGGGGTGGCGTAAAGAACGCTGCGTTATTCACAGCGGTCACTTTCTTCATCGCCGGCACATTCGTCCCGAGAACATGTTTTGCTGGGCTTTTTCCCCGCTTGTAATTACGTTGGTAATTTACCCAAACAACCAATTTACGAGCAGAAAAGGGCTGGCTCTCGCCAGACGCGGGGCCCAGTTTTAATTACTCCAGAAAGCCACTTAAGCTCACTGTCGCATTTCATTAGGGCGGCTGTAAAACATCGTTACGTGTCCCCTCCCAAAATGTTCTGCCCACCGTTTAGTTTAACTTGTCTTTGACCGCGCTTCGCAGCACTGGTACGTTCGCGCTCAAAGACGTCAGTCCGTACCGTGTCAACCCATCACGGTTTAACCCCGTATTCCTGTACAGGGAAATTGAGTTTTCAGGTCCATACGGCGAAACCAGCAGTTTCAATATGGGCAAAAAAAAAATGTTTTCGTGATGGGATGAACGATGAGGTTTATAAGGACGCGAGGTGACCAATAAGGTCTGAAATTGTCTGTAATAAGGTAGGGACTGATAAGGGGTTGACAGGTAAGTCAATCTATGGGAGGTTATAATGTTTTACCATCATACTTCACCACGCTGATTTAAAAGGATTTTTGAAGAGGTGGAGTTGGGGGGGGAAGGCAGAAACGGTGCGGATTTCACTCACCACTCACGTTAGCCGTGGCTGGAAATCGAACTCTGGACAGCCGGGTTCATAGGGCAGTGGGCTAACCACTGTAACCATAACGCTCCCACCACCGGCCAGCCTTCATCGGGCTCACTAACAGCACTGGCCCCTACCCCCACCACTACTACTGTGTATCAGGATGGATAAGGATAGTTGCCGTAGCAGGCAAGATGTTAACTCCCTCGCCTGGTATACAAGGAGGTCGTGGGTTCAATTCGGACCCCGACACCTGTTGTATATTTGGAGTTTGCGGTGTCTCTCTCCCTCTCTGATCATCATCATCATCACGGTGGCTAGGAGATGTTAACTACCTCGCCTGGTGTACAGGAGGTCGTGGGTTCAATCCCGACCCTGACGCCTGCTATATATTTAGAGGTTTGCACGTTCTCCCCGTGGTCGAGTGGGTTATTCCGCCGGGTCCTCCAGTTTTTCCCTCCACATTTAGAATTAACGTATTCGGCTGCTATGAATTTCCACGTGACGATAAGCCACTTTGTTGAGCTATCATTTGTGACAGCCAGGTGGCCTCAGAAAAAAAAAAAAAGAGCTCTATAGCTTAGACGGCCTTACCTGATAAAAATAAAAATAGTTACGTATATACGTTGAACTTCTTTCGCGCCGTACATAGCGAACCGTGCTAATCGGTGATGCTGAGTGATAGCGAGGTCTCCGTTTGTCTCCCCCCCCCCACCCGCCTTCACCTGTCGCTTGAGTACCAGGTGCTTGCCCTTCCAGTACTTGAGCATCTGCAGGTACTGCAGCGTGCTCACGATGTCCGCGGGGTTGATGGCCGTCTCCTGGCTGATCTCTGTGCACAGCGAGAGAGCGAGCCACAACGGGTCACGAGTTTGACGGCGCAGAGGTCCACCTGCGCCGCATTTCGTTTGGATACAAACCCAGGGATGGCTTTCAAACGTTTTGGATTTTTGCAAGGGCAATTCAGATTTTCAACAAAAAAAATTTTCAGATCGATGCAGAATAATTCAACGTGTCTTCATTCCTCACAAAAGGTGAAGTTGGCTTCAGTAAGTGATGTAATACAAGCGGTGTCATATCCGCGAGCTCATACTTTCACGTCAATTGAAAACGGACACGCATGCCATCACCGTGCGCACGCTTCACGTGAAGCGCAGCCAAACGCAGCCCACAAATGTCCACGCGCGAACGACGAACACGCAAGCGCCGAGGGCATTCCACTGCACCTGGCTCCCCCTGACAACGCGACCACGGCGTTTCCAAGCCCTCGCTCGGCAGACACGGGGGCGAGCCTGCGGCACAATCGTCCGAGGAAGCTGCCCCGGCGGGGGGGGCGTGGTTATCACCGCGCGGTAACAAGCGCTCGGTGCGGGGCGACGCGGTGCGGCGGGCAGGGCGGAGCGACCTACGACCTTTGATGGAGATCTCCTTGCCGTGGAAGCCGTGCAGGTACCGCAGCACCACGCCCTTCCAGTAGCTGCGGTAGCTGATGAGGCCCAGGTCGGAGAGCGGTCGCTCGGGGGACCCGATCTTGTCCTCCATCTTCGACAGCAGGTAGCCTTCGGGAAGGAAGCGCGGCAAAAGGGGTCGGAGCGGGGGGCCAGGGCACGGGGTTGGGGTGGATGGGAGCGGAGGAGGAGGAGGGCGATGGGGTTCGTTAAATCGGTCGGGAAGGCGAGGGCTGGACGACGCGCTTACCGATTAGGTCGCACGGAACCTCGTTTGCAAAGCAGTGCCAGAGGGAAAGGCAATCGCGTGCGCGGAAGAGCTATCCGTTTACGCGAAACGAGACGTTGCGACGTGCAACGAGACGCCGTTAGGCAAACAACTCCCAACGCAACGATCCCGAAGCAAGCGGGACACCGGGTGGCTTTGATGTGCAGGGCTGGCAGCAAACGCTCGCATGCCGAGACGCAGCGGCGACGGCTGCGAGACGCGGAGCGCAAGACAAGCGCGTGACCCTTCGGCAGGCCGAGCGGAGGATGGGCTCTCACAAGGACCGTTCGTCCCGAACGCTGTGAGGGCAGCGCAGCAGTCTCCTAATGGTGCCCCCCCCGCCCCGCCCCCCCCCCCCACAGTGTGGATCTCCCTTCCCCCAGACGTCTGTGCTGTTGATTCCCTGCCACTGTTCAAGGTTCAAGTTGCACGGTCAAGACCTTCCAGTTACTATTTTTATTCAGCTTATCTTCAGAATCAGAATCATTATTTATACCGCAGGAAAAATCCGATGAGCTATGAAGATCTTTTTTTCACAGATGTACAGTCGGGGCGGATAAGAATGTTACAACAACATTCAAAGCTGGGTGGGGGGCAACGCTCTATCCCAGGGGTCAGCAAACTGCGGCCGCATGCAGGGCTCTTCACGGACTGCTTTGTGACGCTCTATCCCCTGCAGATGGAACAGGCGGAGTTCACCGCTCGCTGCACCGCCTTCTCGGCTAAGCGACCTGGTCACACAAATGACAGCTCAACGGAGTCGGCTCACCATGTGTGGAAATTCACAGCGACCACTAAATCGGAGGACCCGGAGAAAAATCCACGCGACCATAAGGGGAACTGGCAAAACTCCCAAATATACAGGGGTCAGGGTTGGGATCGAACCCACAACCACATGCATACCAGGCGAGGAAGATAACGTCTTGCCACCGCAGCGCTTCAACACTTCCCAACACCGCTGACCATTAAGTAAATATGCCTGCTATTCCTTGCACGACGTCGTGAGATGCGTTCACATCTAGACGCTGTGAAAATCCACGTTGTTACCTGCTGCAATTAAACCTCAGCTCGTCTTTACATCCCCCTGTTTGTATCCACACGCGACAAAGACAAAGATCCCCCATGTAGCCTTTAACAGACTGTAGGGGCAAGTGCTGTTAGCGAGCACCTATGAAGGCCGGTACGGTACACGAAGGGGGTGGGTGGACAGCACCACGCCCGACCGCCTTTGTCTCCAGGTACTCATTCGAGGCTGAGTCGACCTAGGGGAGGCCCGGGACCGGTTCAAATAATCGTCACGAGTGCCGGCCCCCCGAGCGGGAATCGAACTCGGGTCGCCAGGTTCCGTAGACCGCTCACGGCTGGACTACCGCTCCCCACACGCACGCAAGCGCACCCACGTGCAACAAACACCGCAAGACACCTTTTATAGACGCGCGTGACTCATTGCTCGACGGCGGCGTAAATGTGTCGGTGCGCGTGTCGCAAATGGACGGTTCAAGAAGACATGCGCGTCTCTCCCCGGGGCAGGTGGAGAGGCGGGGGGGGGGGGGGGGCTTGAGCCTGTGATATTCGGTGACGTGACCGGACGACGGAGGAGCGTCTTACCGCCGGCTTGTTGCAGAGGTCGGCGCTCCAAGCACCCCGACCCGACCCGGTTAACAACGGGAGCGTATCAACCGTAAAAACGAAAAGATGTTACGCGCCCGGCGGCTTCGCCGTGGCCGTTCAAAAAATCCTGTGACATTGTACGTACGTATTTTGAACTTCCTTCATTGCGTATGCATGTACGTTGAGGATTATTCGAGCAAAGAAAACGGACGACATGTGCGTGCCGGCCCTCACGGTACACATTTGAAAAGTAGAAAACTAAAATCGCTGCCGCACGTCACTGCCACGGAATAAGCGAGAGGAGCATCGCTGCCCTCATTCCCCACCGATGCCACACACTTGAAGGCCGGTGCTGTGATCAGCTTGCGCCGCACAGGGACAAGCCGCCCTTATATGGGGGGGGGGGGTCCCCCTAGGCTGACAAGCCGCGGCCACGACACACGTTTCATCACGTCACGAGCGCAAACGTAAGTGCGAGTCAGTCGGATTTATAAAATTCAGGATGGTTTTGTTATTCCTCGCGCAGGGCTGAGGTTTAAAAAAAAAAAAACCTTCAACTTTGATTGCGGCCAAGTAAGGCCACGCGTTCCAAGCGACGCCCCGGGAGCTCGTAGCGCGGCGTGGATTTGAGGGCTGCGAGTCCGTCTCGCTTTCCCTCGGAGCTTTATTAGAGGGATATCTTTCGGTGCCAAGGAGAAGCTCGTGAAAACCCTAAGGGGCCAGCTGCAGGCTTCCCGGCTCACTGGGGTCACGTTGCGTGACCTGGCCCCCCCCCCCAAAACGCTCCATCAGCCGAGGCGCCTCAATTTGTCAAAGAGTCTTTTACTTCCGCTCGACGGCAAAAATATCAAGAAAGGTAATTCCGGCGAAATAAATTTACCGCCGTTGGAACTGCGCGCTAATGATTTCACCGAACGACGGAAGAGCAACGGGAAAAATATGATCGGCACGTTTTTATTTCTCCATAATGAAGGTTTTTGGTTTATATCGCATAAGTATAAATGTCAAATCGCAATTACCAGCGAAACGTTGTACTCAGATAGTAAATGTTGTGGATTCACTCTTCGACACACCCGTGGGCTGAAGTAGTGAACTATTTGGCGTTTACGTGACAAATCCCTTACTGATTGGCCGTGTCGGGTGGTGGAGGGCTTTGACACATTTGTAAATAACGCGATCTAACCCAAAAAACCTTCATTATGAATAATACTGGTCGCGAAAGCCTACGTGTTTGTATTTTTATTTGCAATTTCTTTGGCCGAACAACTCAAGCCGTCATTAGACAAACGTACGGCCGACTCGCGCTGGGGACTGATACCAGCAATGTCAAGATCGGCCTCTGTGGACGTGTCTCTGTGTGTCACGTGTGTGTGCGTTGTGCACGTCTGCGTGTATTTGTATGTCTGTGCGTGTTTGTGTACATGCCTTTGTATGCATGGAGGAGGTTCGTGCAGGACGCAGTTGGAGGCAATCGCCCTCCAGCAACAACGAAGGGCAGAGGAGTGACGCTCACAAACAACGAGCGGAGTGCCGGGCGGCTAAAATGCAGTGAGTTGACGCAGTGGGGAGCGCAGTTGGTGCATCTGCCAGTCATCTCAGTCAGTCAATCCACGACACCTGGGTCTGTTCCGTGACCTCCTCCTGCCAGCGGGCCTTCGACACGTCACGTGGCCTCAAATTGCACCAAGCCTGGCACAACCACCGCGGTGACGTCACCGGCACTCCGTGGTGAACGGCGGTCGTTGTTGTGGCAATTAGCTTCAAATTACGGCGACAATTAACGACAGTTCCGTGCTCACTCGGGAAAAGCTTCACGCCGGGCCTCAAGACCACGCCGAGCCTCAAGAGCATCAGAGACGTCGCAAGTGGACGCGAGAGCAACTCCGTCACCAGCAGGGATGACGGCCGGTGGACGAGATGGAGAACAGAGCGGCGGGTCCAAAGCGGCAACACGCCCGGTGGGAGCAAGTCGCATGCTGTGGTGAAGCGAGCGCGGCCAGGTTGCGCGCGGGAGCCGGACGGGTCATCGCGCGATCGCGAGGGACGGCGGGACACCTCCGGGGAGGCCTTCGACCAGCGGTGGATGGGTCGTGGCCGTCGATGACGATGGCGGGTGCGTGCGCGGGCGAGTTCGCGCGTAGGTGCGTTGTTGCGTGGGTACATGCGCCGGTCGGTTCGTGGGCGTGCGCGCGTGGGACTCACTGAATTCGATGAGCATCTTGCCGTAGCCCTGCCTCATGAACTGCGGCATGGTTAGGATGCACGACACGTTGTAGTTGAGGAACGAGTTCTTCTCCTGCGAAGGGGAAATACATCGGGGGGAGGGGGGGGGGGGTAGAGAGGCTGCAGCGGCGCAGGCAAAACGGAGCGGCGTAGGCGAAACGGAGCGGCGGTCCTTAAGAAACAATGGGGGCGAGTGGCTGCGCCACCGCGAGCCAATTACGAGCCCTGGCATCGCTCGAGCACCACGGGACGCAGCCCAGGGAGGGCAACGCGGCCGGCGCATCACCGTCACCGTCACCGCCACAAAGGGAAGGCAATGAAACGTACGGTGGTCGCGAAAACAACAGCGTCCATCAAACCCTCATGCAGCAGCTCTTTGTTCGCTTTGTCGAGGCATCGATCGACGTGGATCAGCCATCCGCCGTTTCATTTTGCGCGCGGCTGTCGCTCAGGAACGTTCGCAGCGCCGCGAGTTTCAATTCGGCCGCGGTCTATTCACTGCCGGATGAAAGCCGCCGCAAGCCCTCGCCAACTTTCTCGTGGCTACGCTACGCGATGCCAATCGCATCGCTACCATCATCATCCCTCTGTGGTCGAGAGAGCAAATAGCGGTTGTCCCATGAATAGAACGATTCGTGCAATTGGAACGTGGAATTTACACCGCTCCGGGGTCGTGACATCCAACTGCAATGAGGCAATGAGCCATGCTGTTTGAGCAGGGAGACAATGAGCGGGAGCGAGGTCAGCAGGGGCGGCTAATCCCACGGCGGTCGGAGACACACAGAGTCAGCGACGCCGAGATGCTGGATTCGAATCGGCGTTTCAGTCGCCCGCGGTTATACCGGGGTTTTCGAGTCGATTGGTCTTGGCCCGGTCACCATTGACCACACGGTAGCAGCTAATTAAAGAAAAAAATAAAGAAAAAATTCCGAAAAAAGACATTGGGGTTTGCACACTTTTGACGTGAAGCTTTCGTGACTGCAGGAATCCATGCTCTTTGGTTCTTTCGGTAAAGTCACGTGGGTAGAAATAAAATCGAATAAAACAAATCACCACGTTTCGATCGCAACACAAAGCGGTCGTCGCCTAACTACGTGACATTACCGGAAGAACCAAAGAGTATGGTTTTCATATTCTTGGTTCTTTCGGTAAAGTCACCACGTAGAAGGGAAACAATAAAATGACAAAAACATAAAAACAATAAAATTCTCACGACGTTTCGACTGCAACATGAGCGATCATCATCAGGTGTGAATACCACAGCAAGAACATTTGAAAAAAGTGGCGTTTTTTTTCTTCAAATTTCCTTGCCGTGGTTTTCACACCTGATGATGACTGCTCGTGTTGCAGTCGAAACGTCGTGAGAATTTTATTGTTTTTATATTTTTATTATTTTATTGTTTCCCTTCTACGTGGTGACTTTACCGAAAGAACCAAGAATATGAATCCCTGCAGTCACGAAAGCTTTAAATCAAAAGTATGGTTTTCACTTTGTTCGGTTCGCTCCAGCTTCTGGGACTCAAAGTGTACAATGTAATTGACATCGGCAGAACATCACTGATAAAAAAAAAGCCACGTAAATTCTGTTCCAAGAGTGTGGGAAGAGGAACTGCACCATGGGATGCAAAGCAGTGCCATCATATTGTTCGTGGAGGTGCAGCACTGCTCGCTGAAAATATCCAAAATTAAATTCGTCTTACACCTTGTGACGTGATGCCCGCAGGCACTGCCGGAATATCTTCTTGAATAAAATAAGTAAAAGGTTTTGAAGGATCTAATTGGGCGTCACGGTGGCTATGAGATGTTAACTACCTATCCTGGTATACAGGAGGTCGTGGGTTCAATTCCGACCCCGATGCCGATATATTACACACCATCCAACCATCGTCATCCATTCCATGATGATGATACAATAAAAATACAAATTTCAGTTTTGTAGAGCGTCATAAACGCTAATTGCATCTCGCAACGCTGTACAATAATTACATTCATAATCACATTCAGGGCTAAATCCTAATTAAATCAATTATTAGTTTGCAAATGAAACCCTCACAAAATAAAAACGACAATAAATAAATCAAGAAATGGTATAAACAACCAGAGGTATGAACAAGAAAAATGTTTATCAAAACGGGAGATTTCAGTTGAGATTACGGGTACAACCATGATGTCTTTTGTCTTCACAGCAGTGGACTGATTGTGGCTGCCGCTGCTGAAGATGGTGCTGCTGCTGCTCCTGCGCTCCTGCTGATGCTGCTGCTGCTCCTGCTGATGCTGCTGCTGCTGCTCCTGCTGATGATGCTGCTGATGATGCTGCTGCTGCTGCTCCTGCTGCTGCTGTTCCCGTTGATGATGTTGCTGCTGCTGATGCTGCTACTGCTCCACCTGATGCTGCCACTTGCTGATACTAATGTTGATGCTACCACTGCGGCTACTGATGACGATAACGAATATGAGCAGCACCTCGCAGATGCGACACTGCACGGGAAGGTGGGGGGAGGGGGGTAACCTCACCTTGGAAAAGTAACCGACGAGGTGGCAGCCGGCATTGTCTCCCTCCGTCATGACGTAGAAGAGGAAGGGCTCCACGTCGTAATACAGCGTCTTGTGGTCCAGGAACAGTTTGGCCAGGAGGCACAGGTTCTGGCAGTACGTCTGCAGACAGACCGAGCGACGAATGTTAAACTGTTTAAACTAAACCATTTTTATTTTACCAGGTAAGGCCCAGTAAGCTTTACAGGAGAACCCCTCTGAACGACCACCCCCTGTTAACGATTAATCGCTGAACGACGGGCCTCCATAGAGCCCAATGTGTAGTGTATAGTAGTGTAGTATACACTAGTGTAGTGTATAGTGTAGTCTATAGTAGTGTAGTCATAGTAGTGTAGTGCCTCCATAGAGCCCAATGTGTTCGCTTGCAGACCTGTTAACGATGGGCTGATGCAGATACAGTAAATATGACTTATTGCATTGAATAACCATGTTTCTTTTAATATTTTGTTTATAATGTTGTTAGTATCTTGATGTATTAATATCCATTGTCTAAATATTATAAAGTACGTTTTTTGGGTGAAAATGTTTATCCTTTCGATGCTATCGGAATGAATTAAACATGTCTTTCCTTGACTCGCTTACACGACCAAATCACTTTAAGGACCGGTTTCGTGGAACCGATTACCGTCGTTAAGAGGGGTTTCTACTGTATCGCTCGTTTTCAGAAGCGACCTGACTATCGCAAATTATCGCTCAAGTGGCTGACCATCGTGCGGAAATTTATAAGCAAGCCAAATACTCTCAGCGCGTGATGTTGATTCTAAATGTGGAGGGGAAAACCGGAGGACCCGGAGAAAAATCCACGCGAACCACGGGGAGAGAGAGACATGCAAACTCCAAATATACAGCCGGCGTCAGGGTCGGAATTGAATCGATGACCGCCTGCATACCAGGCGAGGTAGTTAACATCTCCTAGCCACCGTGATGATGATGAGAGAGACACCACAAACTCCAAATATACAGGAGGCGTCAGGGTCGGAATTGAACCGACGACCTCCTGTATACCTGGCGAGGTAGTTAACATCTCCTAGCCACCGTGATGATGATGAGAGACACGCAAACTCCAAATATACAGCAAGCGTCAGGGTCGGAATTGAACCGACGACCACCTGCATACCAGGCGAGGTAGTCAACATCTCGCTCCTCCGATCAAACATTTTCAAAGAGGTGGAAGCAACCGACACTTTACCCCACCACACGCAACCTGCCTGTCAAGCTGAGAACCGCCACCACCAATTTACTCTGCTCGGTGGACCGGAGGGCCAGAGGGATTGAATAAACTCTTGTACGTTGAACTTCTTTCGCACCGCACATAGCCAACCGTGCTAATCGGAGGCGCAAACGCAAACGCATGAACACGCGTGCGTGCGTGCGGCACGCCATTCACTGCGCAGCGTGTCACGTCTTTCGTTCGCACGCCGTCTCTCCAGAACTCACAAGTGGGGCAGATATTTTTTTTGTTGAAAAATTGTATTGTGAACGATGTGGAGGAGTCGTATCGATTCACTCTCCGTCGCCAGCAGGGGTAATATTGCTCTGGGGGGGTGGTGGGGGGGGTCACACACAACAGACTGGTGGGGTCGTTCGACAAGAGACCAGTCTCTGATTGGGTCTCGGAGAAGATAAACACTCGATCCGATGGGGCCCTTTGGACATTATTCGGACCGATCTCTGACGGTGTTTTGATGAGGATGACGGAGCAGTTCCCATCAGGTTGGGGAAGGCAAAAGCTCGGAGTTCCAGCCCTTGAGGGTAGAAAGTGGAGAGGGCGGTGACCTCCCCCATCGAGTGGAGGGTTGACACGGTTGATTTAAGTTGTTGATTTTGGATTTTGCAATATTAGCAAGGGATTTGCCATTGCCTGCCTCTGTGAAATATATCTTAAATATCAGCCTGGTCGGACACTGACTTCTAAGGAGCAGATCCTGTTTGAGATTCCCAGCTTCAAGGTGCCTCTGGGGTATCCAGCAGACTGCAGAACCCACACTGTGATTGAGCTGAAATCAATGCGAAACCCCGAGACATTTAAAGGCGCTATTTAAAGCGCACTTACTCAGAGACGCTCCGATCCACTTCTCCAACAACGTACGCAGAGTTAAGACTCGCACAACTACAACTATACCTCCTAACGTATGTGCATACGTGCGATGAACTTCTTTCGCACCTTACGTAGCCAACCGTGCTAATGGGAGGTGCGGTGTGTGTACGCGTGTTCAACTTCTTTCGCACCGTACGAGTATTTGGCTTCATGAAATTTCCACACCATAAGCCACTTCTCATTGAGATATCATTTGTGATAGCCAGGCCGCTTCTGAAAAAGTGCCAAGTGGCTCGGTAGGCCTAACCTGGTAAAATAAAAATAGTTTCAACAGATTAAATCCGTTACCCGAGGGGATCAGGCGAGTTCGGGGCAATGTGGGCGCGTAAGGCAATTCGCTTAATGGCACCATCGCCACGGTGACCCCCAGCAACCTCCGTGGGTGGTTGGCCGCTACATCAAACGAAGCACCGCTCCCCACTCTTACCCATTCATCGCAACAGCCCATCCATGCACGTGGGGTGGGGGGGTGGGGGGTCGCTTTGAAGCTCTTGATGGCTCAGCAGTCACTAAGTGACCTAAATGCTGTTCAAGACTTGTGCCGCTGTGACTCATCGTCGCCCACGGACGGCTGCGGTATAAGACGCGGGGTCTCCTTAAATCGTACCCACGATAAGGGCATCGTCGGGGTCAGAAATTAAACAACAACAGTTCGAATAGACACCCGCTGATTCGCGCACATAGCCCACCGTTACCGTGCAGCATCTTGAGATGAGCTCGCACTTAGAACCCCTGTACGTGCGTTGAACTCATTTTGCACCGTATGCAGCCAACCGCGCCGATCGGAGGTGCGGTGCATGTATGGCTGAACTTCTTTTGCACCACATATTATCAGAGCATGTTTTTTTTTGTTGTTGCATGTTCGCCACAAGTACTGTGCGTGGTTAATGCAGTACTTGATTCCTTGCAAAAGGTTTCTATTTGGTGTTTAAACACCTTAACACACCTGTCTCTCATTGCCAGAAAGGGTGAATGAAACCTATTCACATGTTTTTCATACGCCGAGTTAAAAAGTTCGCGACACTCATCCCCGTCCGTGCAAACCATGCACTATGGGAGGAAGGGGATGAAGGTCAATGCGCACGTGCAAAACATTTGTCGATACACTGTTGGATGCCATGCGAATCTCGGGGGTTTATATGACCATACTTCACCACGCTGGTCAATGCGGGCTGGTGAAGGCATGGGGCATATACGTGGAAGCACAGCATTTCATTGCAAATAAACGGATTTTGCTGGACTGCCCTCTTGCTACCCACAACAAAGGTCAACCCCTGAAGCCACCTCTGGCAACCTGGCACGTGGCGTGGTGGTGGCGGCGGCGGCGGTCGCCCATCCAAGCACTATCCAGGCTCGATGCCGCTTAGCTTTCTAGATCTGATGAGATTTGGTGTGGCCCGGGTGGCACAGACATTAAAAAAGCTGCAGCGTGTACAAAACTCTCTGGCACGTGTTGTGACGGGTACTGCAGGATCCGAACGTGTCCGTCCAAGTGCTCGCTGAGCTGCATTGGCTTCTGGTTGCCAAACGAAAACATTGTCAGGTCGGGCTCATAACACACAAAGTGCTTGCCACAAATGAACCACAATACCTTGGTGATCTCGTCAAGGAGCATAAAACATCGTCACGTGAACTCTGGTCATCATCGCAGCAGCGGCTTTTGGCTCGGCCATCGAACGAAGATGCGCTTCTGCGGCGGTCTGGAATGCTCTTCATTCAAATATTTGGAAGCCACTGGAGCTATGCACTTTTAAATCATCCAGATTGAAAACTTGTTGTGTTTAGTTTGTTGTCCTTCCCCCACACCTCCGATTAGCACGATTGGCTACGTACGGTGCGAAAGAAGTTCAACATACAATGCATTTGGTTATAGGTGTAGAGCTTACACTAAAATCGCTGACGCGCTGAGAATCAACAGGCTGATGAACTCTATCTGACACGGGCGGTGCGACAGGGGAGAAAAACAAAGAGGTCCCCGTGTGAGCTCTTGAAAATACTGCTGACGTCGGACCGATCCTCCAGGATTCTGACAAAAAAAAGCGAGACTCCGGGGACATGTTCTAATTTTTTTAAAACACAGATGTGCATTAAAAATTAAAGCAGCTCACGGAGTGGCTGAGTGACTCAGAGGTCAGAGCACTCATGGCCACCGTTGAGACCATGGGTTCGAATCCTGACAGCAGCCAGTGATGAAACTGGGACGAGAAAACGGGCCGGGAGTGGATGGTCTCAGCCCAGACACCACGGACTGCACAAAGAACTCCCCACCCCCCCCCCCCGCCCCCCAATCAAGTTTGATTCTGCACTGGATGTGACCGTTTAACAGCAGTTCAGAATTACATCTTTAGAATCATGAAGGAGAGAAAAGGCCACCTGAAAATAGTTTTTTCAGAAGCCTCGTAAAATGTATGCATGTACGTACGTTGAACTTCTTTCGCACACCGTAGGTAGCCAACCGTGCTAATCGGAGGTGCGGGGGAAGGATCATTCACGTCCACTCCCCGACAAACACACAAACGCACAGCGCAACGCTGTAATGGATCGCTGAATGGAATCTTCGTCACGGGCCACGACGCCAAAGAAAAGCACAACCGGAATAAATTGTGGGAAGCAAAATAAAAAAAACAATTAAGATAAACGTTATCCACGCTTAACCTGCACCTCCGATTAGCACGGTCGGCCTCGTCCAGTGCGAAGGAAGTTCAACGCACGTACAACCCGCCCGTACAAACTACGCACTTGGGAGAAGGGGGGAGGAAGCCCAGTGCACGTGTTCAGCCCTTTTAGTCACTCCACTGCTGGATGAGGCTCATGGAGGAGTGGGGGGGGGGGGGGGTCCTGGGGGGTTATTTGACCGTACTGAGAGCCTTGAGACTCCGTTCCGCTTTGCTGGGTAAACGAGCGTAGCAGCGGTAGTAATCATGTATAAATAATCCACCACCTCCTCCAGGCGGTGGGTGCTGTGTGCCACCGACATCTGGGTGGTTGGTCTTCGAGCTGTTCCCCATACGCGGGTGTTTGGTTCGTGCGTAAACAATTTGGCGGGTGAAGAACAGCCAAGTGGGAAATGCCCCTAACTCGGTGTTCTTTATTGCAAAGCCCGCACGCCGCTGGCGGCCCCCTGGTGCCCTTTAATGCAGCCGCTGACGTGCGGCCCCCAACAATACATAAATGTGAAAACGCCCCATCATCATCATCATCGTGCTGCTGCTGTCGAACCGCTAATGGTTTCAAATGGTGTGAAGACGGCCCTGACGCTGACGGTGTCTTATCGGCGAAAGTGGCCGGGCCCCTCTGAAAATGAGTGAAGGACACTGCCCTAACGGCTCCGAAATCTCCGCGCGTGCTCGCCTACGCCACCTTGTTCTTTTTGCCGTCCACTTCGAAGACGGACACGGTGCCGTTCCGGTAGATCTCATCCCCCGGCGGGTGCTTCCAAACGCACTTGGCCTGGCCAGAGACAAAGCGGAGAAAGACAATAACATTTTACATTTAGAATGATAAACAGACCGATGCGCACGCCTCCTTCGTACAGTGGGAAAATTAAAAGACAAAAGCCAAGGTGGTGCGATAGAGGCCATGCAACCCAAACTGTGGACCATAGAGTAAACACAGAGACCCATAGAGATTCATGAAAACCCATAAACAGCAAAACCTTGGATTGCGAGCATAATTCGTTCCGGAAACGTGTTTGTAATCCAAGGGCACTCGTATATCAAAGCACTCGTATATCAGTTGTGATCACGTGACGCTCGGCAGGCAAAGCATCTATACGTACTGCTCGTATTGCAAGACCTCGCTCGTTTATCAAATTAATATTTACTTAAAATTCATGCTCGTCCTGCAAAACACTCGCAGACCAAGTTACTCGCAATCCAAGGGTTTTACTGTAGATGCATTTTACACAATGCACAGCCGCGCAATTGTGGCCATGCAACCAAAACTGTGGTCCAAAGAGTAAACAACTGTAGTTTGTGCGCAAATGTTGAAATTGGTCAAGCAATTAAAGAGATTCAATTATCGTACATCGCGGGAATAACTGATAAACTGGCCAGATTTTTTTTTTTAAACATCCGAGTGAGATTTGGCACGGCACATAAAAAAACAAAAACGAATATCTGGTACTATTGATGAATTACCGAAGCGAACAAACAGGTGTGTACCGGATTAATTGCTCCTGTGGCAAATGCTATGTTGGTCAGAGACTAAAAGAACACCAAACACAACTATCGGCAGTTGCAGAACACGCGTGCCAACAAGGACATCACATTTATTTTGATATTGTTGAAGTTTTGTGTAAAACTAGTTACCACTGGCTAAGACTAATTAGGGAATCTATTGTAATTGAGAGAAATAAAAAAAAATACTTTGAACCCTTCTGATAGCTACAGGCTTAGTGCTGCTTGGAAGCATAATCAAGTAATAGACTGTTTAAATTGCATGCCTTTACGTCGATTAACTACGACTTAACGTGCACATAGCTGCTGCCAAACTAAAAAAAATAAGCATTCCATTATACGTTGATGAACTGTGAGCAGCCAATAATGGGAACCGCATAGTCTCTGCATACTCTCAGATCAACATAATACACAAATATTATGTACGTTGACCAACTGTGAATGACCCAACCAATATTAGGCACGGCATATTCTCAGACTAGCTTCGCTACCCGGCTTCGCCCGGGACTTGGATTCTTGTCTTGGATTAACACACGGCCTACGCGGAAGGTGGGATGCGTGACGTCAGCAGGCACACTGCGTGACGCTGCCGCGTGCGGGTGACATGACAAAGATGTGACGTCACAGCTCACTTGCCGTGCAAAATATATGCATTATTGCTCCCCCACCCCCCCCCAAAAAAATATACAAAAGTCTATTTTTAGAATTTTTGCATGGTGTACAGTCTGGAAAGTACCCACATGGCAAATTTCATGTGGGGAAGTACGCTAAACATTTTGAACAGACACACACACATTCACAAATTTCCCTTTTATATATACAGATGAACATGATCCACTGTAACTTACATGACTACATGTCCCCCTCTCTGGTCTTCGCACCTAACCGACCCACAGTGATGACATCACCTTTACTCCCTCTATTTAAGACCGAAACAGGAGGAATTCTCCACAATTATGGATATCGCCTGATGATGCTGGTTGTTGTTGTAATCACCAGCGGAACGCCACGGTACTCGAATTGTAAATGTTATACTGGGTTTACTCTCCAACACACCGGTGTGCTGAACGAATAACTAATGGGCACGTTTGTTTACGTGACAATCCTTGCCAATTGGCTGTGTTAGGTGGTGGCGGGTTTATCGACACATTTATAATTATGCGATCTAACCAAAAAAAACAAGATTATGGATATTATTGGTCGCGAAAGCCTACGTGTTAAACTGCTCTTCCTTCTGATATTAGAATGCAACTGCAGCGATGCAATTTTAAATAATCTAGATTGAAAATTAATTGCTTTTGAACTGCTTTTTTGTGTTTAATTTGTTGTCCTGACCCCCACACCTCCGATTATCATGGTTGGCTACTTATGGTACGATAGAAAGTTCAATATACAAGTCGTTCCTATAAATCAGTGGTTATTAACCTTTTTTGGCTCCTGTACCGCCCTTGTTAAAATGTGTTTCGACCGAGTAACCCCCTCGCCTGACCCAACATGGTTCTGAGAAATAAATGTATGAATAATGAACGTCAACATTTTAATCCAATTGTCCATTTTGCGAGGTATCCTACTAACGAGCTAAGTAACTGCAAGCGGAAAAAAACATTTCAACGGACACTCGGCATGCATGACGTAAATTGCTCGTGCTTGCCGGTTACCCTTGGTAACCGCGCTGCTAATGATCAGCGAGTTCAGAAAGGCCTCTTATATATCGTTCAAGGTTACCACGTGGATTTACATTCAACCGTAGTCGTTTCATATTGGCAGATTCATACAGTACGTAATCATTCACCAATGACTCTCACGCCTCCGATATGATTTCACACGTATAAATAAACTCGCGCAACCCCCCCTTGGACATTGCCACGGGACCGCCCCCCCCCCCCCCCCTCCCAGGGGTCCCGCCTGTCGAGCACCACTGCTGGGACTGGCTACGCCAACGACGCCGCCCGCTCACCATGTGCCTGCGCAGGATGGTGGGGCTCTTCATGTACTTGAGGCAGAACTCGCAGACGTAGAGCTTGCCCAGGCGCGTGTACTCCTCGGGGTAGGGCGAGTGGTACCACGTGTCGAGCTCGTAGCGCCCAAACACGATGGTGCGGATGCCGGCCTCGAGGCACGCCCCCACCACGGCCGCCCCCGGCAGCGCGCCGTCGCCGTCGCACGCGGCCCCGCGCAGGTGCATCTGCTCCTGGGGGGGGGGGGGGGGTGTGTGGGGGGGTGTGGGGGGTGTGAGAGGTAGCGGGGGGGTTTGATGGCGGGGGGGGGAGGCAGAGGTTTAAACACGGCATCTTGAGATGCGCTCGCGTTTAAACGCGACAAAAATCCACCCTGTACCATAGTGCAATAAAACCTCAGCTCGTCTTTACATCCCCCTGCTTGTATCCACACACACACACACACAAATAAAAAGATCCCCCGTAAAGCCTTCAGACTGTTGGGCCAAGTGCTGTTAGCGAGCAGAACCTATGAAGAACGGCACGGTACTCGAGGCGGTGGGTGGCCCAGCACCACGCCCGACCGCCTTTGTCTCCCGAGTGGCGATGTTCAAACACCCCTACACCAGGTACTCGATTGAGGCCGAGTCGACCTAGGGAAGGCCCAGAACTGGTTTAGATAATCGTCACCGCTGTTGGCCATGCGCGGGATTCGAACTCGGGCCGCCGGGTTCGTAGTGCGGCGCGCTAACCGTGACGCTGCCGCTCCCAGGCTGAGCTTCGCACACGCCGTAACACGACCGGGTGGTAGCGTGTTTGCCGCTTGTTGCAGTGCAGGTCTGCGGTTCAACTACAAGGGCTGCCCCGGTTAATGCCGCACAAACACACACACACGCACGTGAATACGTGCCATCTGCGTTGCAGTACAGGTTGAAGACCTCGCGCTTTTGCTCGAAAAAGAGTGCCAGCGTGATTGTCCACACATTTGAAAACTGTACTGAAATCTGCACAAAAGATCAAATCCCAACATAGCTCTGCTGGCTGGCAGACTATTGCCCACTTGTGGACCGGATGATGTATTGATTTTCTGCCGCACAGAGACAGGTACCATAACAATCCCGTTGGCTTAAAAAAATAAACTGCGCTCTGCGATGTTCCATGCTGCTATGGGTGTAAAACAAATACAATTATGCGTATATATAAATTTAAAGCAGTAGCGAACTAATATAAACCAGTGGTTCTTAACCTTTACTGAAGCCATGCACCTCTTTGGTTCTCAATCGTAAAAAAAAACATTTCTTTATTAATTAATACATAGGGTTTGATGAAACAAAGTAGTTGTACTTACGTGCACGTGCTTCATGCGTTTCGACGATTTAACCTTCTAAAAGAATCTGGCACGTCTCGTACCCCCGGTGAAGAACCACTGGTTTAAACGCACGTCGATTTCAAACATGGTGGAGAAAACCGGAGAACCCAGAGAAGAACACGTAAACTCCAAATATGCAGGTGTCCGTCGGGATTGAACCCACGACCTCCTGTATACCTAGCGAGGGATATAACATCTCACCACCATTGTGCTCCCGTGGTGGTTATTCACATACTGAAAAGCACACGCAAGCAGTTGCAGACGCACGCACACTGCACACACACACAAGCAGGCATTACGTGTGTGCGTGCGTGCGTGCCCAACCATGTCCAGGCAGGCGCGTGTCTGCGCTCGCCGGAACAGCTCCAGGTCGTACGGCGACGTCAGCCCGTCGAGGAGCGGCTCTCGGCTCATGGCGTGCGTCTGCCGGTGCTCCTGGGACGCGGCACAGCGGGCACAGCGGGCACAGCGGGCACAGCGGGCACACGGACACAGCGGGCACAGCGGGCACAGCGGGCACAGCGGGCACAGCGGACACAGCGGGCACAGCGGGCAGAGCGGGCACAGCGGGCACAGCGGGCACACGGACACAGCGGGCACAGCGGGCAGAGCGGGCACACGGACACAGCGGACACAGCGGGCACAGCGGGCACAGCGGGCAGAGCGGACACAGCGGGCACAGCGGGCACAGCGGGCAGAGCGGACACAGCGGGCACAGCGGGCACAGCGGACACAGCGGGCACAGCGGACACAGCGGGCACAGCGGGCACAGCGGACACAGCGAACACAGCGGGCACAGCGGGCACAGCGGACACACGGACAGAGCCACCCAGCAGCAGCAACAACAATGACAAAGTTGATTTAGAAAGCGCCATACAAAAGACAAAGATACCCACGATAGCTTTAACAGACTCTTGGGGCAAGTGCCGTTAGCGAGCACCTATGAACGCCAAAACGGCACACGAGTAAACTAAAAAAAACTAAATAATGTTTTAACCAGGCAAGGCCCACTGAGCTATGTCGATGTTTTGCAGAAGTGACCTGCCCACAAATGAAGGAAGGGTGGTCATTACCACGCCCGGCCGCCTTTGTCTCCCCAGTACTGATGTTTATGCACTGCACCAGGTACTAATTTGAGGCCGAGTCGACCTCGGGAAGGCCCGGGACCGGTTCAGATAATCATCACTGGTGCTGGCCCTCAGCGGGAATCGAACTCGGGTCGCCGGCCTCGTAGCGTAGCACGCTGTTACGCTACCGCTCCCCACACAAAACACCGTTTGACATGCGCATCATGTACATAATAATAATAAGAGTACCTATATATACTGTACTAGAGAACTGATATTTAGTTACAAGTGGAGGACAAGAGGAAGATGTTGAGCCTGAGATTGAACACGCGCAGGGGAGGGAGTTCACTATTGCAAGGGTAGCAGGGAAGAAGCCACACGCAGACAAACTGTTGCACGGAGAGAGAGAGCGAGAGAGTAACAATTGTGGAGACATACAGCCGCACACACAGAGAGACGCACAGAGGAGCCGGTCGTACAGACAAGAGACGAACAATCGCTACAGACAGGCGGGCGTACAGACGGACGGTCACAGACACAGATAAAAACAGTTGCACACGCAGTAAGACAGTCACGCGGAGAGAAAGCCCGACAAGCCAATTGACAGACAGAGACACATTGCGACAGATGCCAGACATGCAGGCAGACAGACGGACAGACAGTCGTAGTGATAATAAAGATGGTCAGAGACATCCATAGACAAATGACGGCAAAGTTGAACGGGGAGACAAAGGCGTCGACGGGCTGACGATATGCCTGCTGTGCGATAGCGCACGACTGCGCTGTAAGGGAGCCTCCTCTCCTAGGAACCCGGAACAAACAGGAGGGAAAAATGGATCCACTCACAATGTACTTCTGCTTCTGCTCCTCCGTTGGCCCCGCGTTCCGATTCTTGCGTAGCTCGGTGACTTTTTCTCGATAGCGCAGCTGTTTCTCCGTTGGGCCCTGCACATCAAAGAAGACAAAAGATTCCCCCCCCCCCGCCCCCCATAGCCTCAAAGAGATTTTCGCGGCAAGTGCTGTTGGCAAGTAGCGGCACATATAAAGTGCGGGGCGTGGCACACCAGGCGGGCGGTGGTGAGGGGGTGGCCAGCACAACGCCCGGCTGCCTTCGTCTCACCCAGTGGCGATGTTTTGGATACTGCACCGCGTACTCGTTTGAAGCCGAGCCGACCTAGGAAAGGCTCAGAAAGGGCTCAAATAATCGTCGCTGGTGTTGGGCGCGAGTTCGCCGGGTTTGTAGAGCAGCGCGCAAACCGCAGTGCCTCCCATATTACATGTGCGGACCCACATCACACACTGCACGCAGGCACAAGCACACACACACACATACACAGGCAGGCAGGCGCATGCATGCACAGAAACACATACAAGCATACACACACACACAGATAATCACACAATGCACAAAGACACACACACAGAAAGCCACACACACAAAGACAAGCACACAACAAAGACAAAGATCCCCCGTATAGCCTTAACTGTAGGGGCAAGTACTGCAAGCGAGCACTTATGAAGGCCAGAATGGTCAACGAGGGGGTGGGTGGCCAGCACCACGCCTGACCGCCTTTGTCTCGCCAGTGGCGATGTTTACACACGGCACCAGGTACTCATTTGAGGCTGAGTCGACCTAGGGGAGGCCCAGGACCAGTTCAGATAATCGTCACTGGGTGTTGGCCGTGAGCGGGAATCAAACTCGTGTAGCTGGGTTCATAGCGCAGCACGCTAACCGCTACACTACCGCTCCCCACTAGCACACAACACGCCCACAGTCACAAGACAAAGATCCCCCATATAGTCTAACATACTTTTGGGGAAAGTGCTGTTAGCGAGTAGCACCTATGAAGGCCGGCACTTTGGAACACGAGGAGGTGGGTGGATAGCACCACACCCAGCCATGCACACACACACACATGCGTATTCACAAACTCACACAAAAACATAGACCTCAGCTTCGTTTTAAAAGACTTGCTGGGACGCGTGCTGTCAGCCAGCAACTATTATAGCCAGTTTAAGTCGAGCAGCTTCGTTACAGTGATGTGGGGCTGTTAGCGCAATGCCAAATAAGTCGCGCATGTTACACCGAAGCAACTATCAGATATTCTTGGTTCTTTCGGTAAAGTCACGTAGAAGGGAAACAATACAATAAAAACCATTTCGGGTCTTAATTTATTGTTCACACTTACGGTGGCTTTCAGACCGCGTCCATTATTTTCGTCTCCCCCCCTCCTCTTTTCTGTCTGAATAACTGCCAAATCGCTCTCTGTGGTGCTAACGTTAAAAAAACGCCACTTTTTTCAAATTTTCTTGCTGTGGTTTTCACACCTGATGATGATTGCTTGTGTTGCAGTCGAAACGTCGTGAGAATTTTATTGTTTTATATTTTTATTATTTTGTTTCCCTTCTACGTGACTTTACCGAAAGAACCAAGAATATGAATCCCTGCAGTCACGAAAGCTTTAAATCAAAATTCAACTATCAGATGTTCAAGGCATTCCAAGCAGCATATATAAATATTAACTCCCAACCTCAAGAAAGTGTCACTTGAGTCTTGATAAAACACTTTGTTGAGCTATCATTTGTGGCCAGGTCACTTCTGGAAAATAAATTAATGCCTCAGTGGGCTTTACCTGGAAGGATGGGGATGGTTTAGTTGTTGTTTGTGTTTGGGTGATTTGTTGACCTTTCTTGTACTACAATCGTGTCGTTGTACTGTTTGTTGTTGTGACGTTCTTACCCCGTGCCCCTACTTAACATCTGTTAAAAATAGCTTTATAGCTCATCAGATTCCTCCTGCATTATAAATAAATCATCTGAACTGACTTGAGAGCGGGGGATTTTTCAACCATATTTATCAGCGGTTCAAACACTGGCGCATGCTGGCCGGCCACGGCGTGCCAGCCACGTGTTGTCACGTGGTGTGTGTGTGTGTGTGCAGACGTGGGGACCCCTCGCGTGGCATCGTGACGTAACAGGGCTTTAAACTGTTCCAGGTTGCCTCTGTTCGGGCTTCCTGTTGGATGACTGCTGCCATCTGCTGGCTCCAAGACGCTGCACAGCAACAAGAGGGCTCCGTTGATTTATTCGACGGAAAAAAGCAGAAAAGCCGGCCCAGCCATAGGCAGAGAAAAAAGGTCCTGAGCCAAGACTTGAACCAGCTGCGAAGGGTTAGAAGCACGGACGGCTGGGGGTAAAGAGTTCCAGACTGTGGGGGGCAGCAGGTCGCGTGGATTTTCTCTCAGAGCCCTCCGGGTTTTCCCTCCACATTGAGAATCAACGTGTGTTTAAGAGTACTTGGCTACTGTCATAAATTTCGACGTGAACGATAAGCCACTTCGTTGAGCTATCACTTGCGGCCAGGTCGCGTCTGAAAAGGGGGTACACAGCTCAGTTGGAACTTTACCTCGTAAAATAAAATGTTTAGCTTTAGTTCATCATCCCCAACGCCTGTTTGTTCTGCTGCTGCCTCGACCGCCACTGCACGGGAGGTGGCGGGGGTACGAAAGAGTAAAAGATGACGGTGACGATGAGGATGGAGCAACGAACGCCCGCGAGCCCGCGGGGGTGGGGGGAGGCCGTGAACTCACTCCGTGCCGGGTCGTGTGTCGATTTTCGTCCTGCTGATCGGCCAGCTCCTGCTCCGCCAGCTCCTTCTCGTACCGCCCTGCTCGCAACTGACGGCACGAGTCACACGGCCACCAACCCCCCCCCCCCCACCAACGGTCAAAGGCGCGCAAACGTGGGTGGGAACCGACAATGTAGAGAGAGAGAGGCGACGTTCGTTCCGTCGCCGTCGAGAAGTAACATTTAGTCTCCATCCGCCCGCGGTAAGGGGAGGGCGGTCGGCAAATCTGCGGCTCTGGTGCTGAGCACGCCTCTTCAAGGAACCGTCTTCGGGACGTTATTTATTTAAGGCCCACCGTCTCGTACTCGCGCGCACTGCGGCTCTTGAAATATCAATTCTTTTTGTCACGCAATACCAAACAAAAAACGGCTCCCATGGTTCTTTGATTGCCGAGCCCTGGCCCGTGGGACTTCCTCCACATTTAGTGTTTATCGGGAAGCATTTGCCGAGTTAACGAGGCAACCCTGGGCTGCTTTTGACTTCACCGAGGAACACCGGCATGAGGCAAGTCGGCTGCGGGAACATACGCCGAGACAACGCGTGGCAGCACCCTCCCTCTGGCGCCAACCCTCTATCAAAGCTCCCTAGTGAAGCCCCCCTTCCGATGGGGTCCCTGCCGGCAGAGCCCCCCGAGCGAGCCCCCCTTCCTAGGCGTCCCTCGGAGCCCCACGTCCTCTGGCAACCACAATCCCTGTGACCAACCCCTCGGCCTCCTCCTGGGAGCCAGAAATCTTTCCGATTGAGAGGGGGTCAAATACTTATTTCCCTCATTAAAATGCAAATCAATTTATAACATTTTTGACATGCGTTTTTCTGGATTTTCTTGTTGTTATTCTGTCTCTCACTGTTCAAATAAACCTACCATGAAAATTATAGACTGATCATTTCTTTGTCAGTGGGCAAACGGTACAAAATCAGCAGGGGATCAAATACTTTTTTTCCCTCACTGTAGCAGGCGTCAAGGGTCGGGATGGAACCCACAACCTCCTGTATACCAGGCGGGGTAGTAACATCTCCTAGCCACCATGGCAAGCAAAACAAACGGAATAAAAAAATAAACAGTGGTGGAGGGAGCCGTTGTCGAGAGGACGGGTCGCTTACCCTGCACTCCTCGGCAGTCATGTTGTGGTAGAGGGGGCAGGCAACGGTTGAGAAATGCCGCTCGGACTTCCCCGCGAGGTGACCTGCCAAGGCGCGGCACCACCGAGTAAAACGTTCACACAAATCGCGAAGATTTTTTTTCGAAGGGTGCGTGTCGCAGTCAAAAACGCCGCACTTCGCCGTGATGACCAGGCGGCATCACCCGAGTGCAGGGTTCACGAGCGACTTTGTTTTCACTTGCGCATCGGTTATTTGGAGCGGGTTCTCCCTTTTTCGAGAGCATTCTGCAATTGCTTTGTATTTATTGAAGCATTCCATCACGACCGCTGCCACAGCTGTGGTCGGCGTGACCTAGGAAAGCCAAACTACATTGGAAAAAAGTGGAACTATGCAACACATCTGAGCCAAGAACAACACAACCCAGAAAACCACCCCTCACCACTCACACAAACAAGGGACTCCCAAAACCATCGCCCGCTCCCTCCCTAACCCTTACCTTGTCACGCCCTGAACACCTCACACCACTCATCCTCTCAGCCCTCACCACTCACGCCCCCACACCGTCACCGCTCACCCTCTAACCCCCTCGCCCTCCTGCCACTCACCAAGGGAGTCGCATCCCGGCGTTGGACAGCTGGCACGGGGAACGCGGGTCGCGCCCACGGCTGCATCCCCGCCACCGCCGCCGCCGTCGGGCTTAGCGGTCCCGTCCGCCATCCCGTCCTCTGCGCTCTGCCGCTGGTGGCCCTGCCGGCGCGCCCGCTTGCGGGGCGGCGGTCGCGCCGGCGTCGTCTTGACGGCGGGGGCGGCGTTGGCGGCGGCGGCGGCGGCCGAGGAGGAGGAAGACGAGGAGGAACCGGCGGCCTTTCCCGCGCCGCCCGCGGCAGAGCCGGAGCCGGCGCCGGCCCCGGCGTCGCCGCCGCCGCCGCCGCGCTCGCTGCCCGAGTCGGCGTCGCGGTCTCCGCTGGCGGCGCGCGACGCCGGGCCGCTCGACACGTCCAGCTCCGAGTCGGAGGACGGGGCGTTCCCCGTGGGGGTGCGCGGGGGAGACTCGTCTACGGCGGGGGGGGGAGACACGGGGAGGAGAGACACGGGGAGGAGAGACGCGGGGGGAGAAACACGGGGGGAGACACGGGGAGCACGGATCTTAGAGCACGCGAGTACGGTACGCCGCACTGCCCTCCGCTGCCTTCTAAACGCGACTGCATCACAAGACACAAAATGAGGGGACTTGCGAAAGGGGAAGTGGCAAAGCGACGGGGGATCAGGTGCGGGGAGGGACAATAATGAATTAACTCTTTGCGCAAGCTGTATAACGCGTTTGGGTGACTTAGCGAGTGCTTTTGCCCTGTGTGGACGTTTGTGTGTCACGAGCGTGGCTGTTAGGCGCGCGCCGTTTGCCCGATGTGCGCTCGTGCAAGTGGTTGCCCGAGAGCACGAGCTCGCGTGTTTGTGTGTTTATGTGTCGGTAAGCGCGCGTGTTTTTGCTGGTTTGTCCAGGCGAGCGCCTGCGTTTGTGCGCGATTGGGCACAAGTTTCTTGAGCGTGGTTTGTGTGTGGCCGTGTTTTTGTGTGTCGCACGTGTGTGTGTGTGTGTGTTGTGCACGTCCGCGTGTGTATGTGTGCGTTGCATGCTTGCGCTTGCACAGTAGGGGGCACAGGTGGTGCATCTGCCAGTCGTCTCAATCAGTCAACCCAAGGCATCCGGGTCTGTCCCGTGACCTTCTGTCGGCAATCCGTCGACACCTCACGTGGCCTCAAAGTGCTCCTAGCCAAGCAACAGGTGCCGCGGTGACATCGCTGTTGTTCTATTTGTATGTATGGAGGAGGATCATGAAGGACGCTACTACCGGGCGGTTGGAGGCAGTCACCCTCCAACAACAGCGGAGGGTGGAGGAGGAGCAACGCCTTCACAACAATCTGCTGGTCATCTCAATCAAAATCGGAACATTTATTTCTACCGGAGGAATCCTATCTAATAAATACAAGTCAATGTTTGTCTGTCTGTCTCTCTGTGTCTGTGTGTGTCTGCCTACTTGCAAGCTACAAAGCTATTTTTCACAGATCAACCTTGTGGTGGTACCCAGGGCTTCCATAAGCACCCGGCTCTCGCACAAACTGCGTTGCCAAGTCATTTTATGTCTGTTTAAGGCGAACGATGCGGCAATCTATTCCTCCCGACGAGCTCTACGCGATGCGCTAATCAAAGTTTTAAGAGAGTTTCTGTGTTTATGACCGCGGCAATTTTGGCAACGACGGGCGCTTGGTGAAGAACGAGAGGATCGGTTTCTGGTGGGTCGCGGCGTTGACGTGCGTGGTGAGACGGAATCGCCAAAAATAAATTAATTATCTTCTTTGGTTCTTTCTGGAGGACAGCGCTGTCCTCCAGACAGTCTCGTCCCTTCACCTGATGAAGGCCGCTTGGGTTGTGGCCGAAACGTCGTGAGAATTTTATTGCGTTATTTTATTTTATCAATTTATTTTATTCTCATTCTACGTGACTGTACCGAAAGAATCAAAGAAGATGAATCCTTGCAGTCACGAAAGCTTTAAACCGAAAAATAAATTAATCAATTGCAATTTTTGCTTCCGTTTATTCGGGCCCCGGGGGGGTCCCGCCATAAGGTTCAGACGTCCAGTCAGTCAACCCATGGCACCTGGGGTCTGTCCCGTGAACTCCCGTCAACAACGAGCCTTCAACACTTCACGTGGCCTCAAAGTGCACCTAGCCTGGTGACACCACCGCCACTTTGTGGGGAGCGGCGGCTGTTGTCGCCGTCATCGCCGCCGTCGTCCGTGCGTCCGTGCGTGCACGTGTGCACGAGTTCGCACCGCGGTCGGCGTGCTCCGTGGCCGTGTGCTCCGACTCGGAGCCAGAGGAGCGCGCGCGCCGCAGGCCGCCCGTCGCACGAGCGCCGTCGGTGAGGCCCGCGGTGCCGGCGGCAATGGCGAGCCGGCGCAGGGGGACGCCGTGGCCCCCCCTGCTCCTCGTGGGGTACGGCGCCGGTTCCCGCCCCGCTGCTCGCCACAGCCGCCACGCGCACACACACACACACACGCACGCACGCATGAGACGGCAGAGACAGGCAAGCGAGAGTCAATGTCAAGAAACACAACTTACCCCACTTTACCCCCCCCCCCCCGCTCTCCCTTAGTGTGCTGGTTATTGTTCTCCTCCCACTCCCAGTCTCTTCTCCCCCCCTCCCCCATTTTAATTGTCACCTTCGCCGCCCCCCACCCCCCCCCCCCCACGCGCCTTTTACGCGGTTCCGCCACGCCGTGATGAATGCTTGCGGATGTTTTTACGTATCCTGCTGTTGGAACTTCTCGGTCTGGCTTACGGCGCCCGCATGTTGTTGCAACAAACATTTATAAAAATCCGTTTTTATAGAAACGCAACCGAGGGTTACCCTGTCCGATCGTATCATCGACCACGGGCCCACATGCCCGTCACCTGTTCATGATATTACTAACGACGTTTTTTTACGAATATATTTCCAACGCTTTCCTTCAACTTCATCCTGCTGTGCTGTCGGCATCGCGTAATGAGGCAGACTCCCCATTAAGGTCACCCACCGAGGATTCCACACCTTGCACGTGAAGACATATCGCGCGGAAGCGGACACCGCAGAACCATCTCTGAAATCCTTTCAGGTGACCTCTGGCTCACAAAGCTGGGGGCAGCCCTTTCCCACTTGCTGTGCAACTAATACTGCTCAACCCAAACTATAAATGCTCTGATACTTGCATTGCCTTTGTACTGTCCGCCTTTTGGCGTTCTCTGGTCTGACACTGGTGGTGAGACAAGGCCATAAAGAAGGCCGTCTCTGGTGGAGGCCAATCAGTTTCAAAGACAACGCAGATATTATCAGAGCATGTTTGTTTGCACGCTTTACCATAAGTACGTGTGGTTAATGCGGACTTGCTTCCTTGCAAATGGTTTCGATTTGGTGCGTCAACATCTTAACACCATTTTTTTTTTATTGCCAGAAAGAGTAAAAAAATATTCCTATTTTTCATAATGTTCCTCACACGGAACCAACTTGACCGCCGAGATCCCCGGCGAATCCTGCGGCTTCCCACGCGCTGCTGTCCTGTCCAAAGGCACCAGTGGACAAGCTGACCAAACAACGAGCTGGTCCGGAAACAAAACTACCCCCCCCCCCCGTCACAATGAGTCACCGACCGCGAACAACGGATCTAGCAACGCCCCACATGCTGCCGCTCAAGTTTGGGGGCAGCCCTCGGGAGCCACAAAGTCCAACATGGCACCGGAATTCGGTGGCCTGTGTCCTGGATTCCTAAAGAACCTGGAAAGGTAAAAATCCAAAAGAACGGGAAGCAAGCCAAAGTTATCGCCAATCCGAAACACGGATAGCCGCAAGACTCGCCCGCCAGCTACCGGGCAATATCCCTTCTCCTCCAGGGTGAAGGAACGAGCCACACTCGCAGAGACCTTCACCCATCATCGATCCCCAACTGCCTCCCAAACGACCCGGATTCCGAACCGGTCATAGCTGCTGCGGACAGACTGTTGTTGCCTTCACCATCCTCATTGGCGCCGCGGTGGTGTAGATGTTAACTACCTCGCCTGGTATGCAAGAGGTCGTGGGTTCGATCCCAACCCTGACGCCTGCTGCTGTATATTTGGAGTTTGCGTCTCTCTCTCTCTCATCATCATCATCACGGTGGCTATGAGATGTTAACTACCTCGCCTGGTATGCAGGAGGTCGTGGGTTCGATCCCAACCCTGACGCCTGCTGCTGTATATTTGGAGTTTGCAAGTTCTCCCCGTGGTCGCGTGCATTTTTCTCCGGGTCCTCTGGTTTTTCTCTCCACATTTAGAATGGACATGCGTTTAGAGTATTTGCCTACTATAAATTTCCACGTGATAAACCACTTCATTGTCATTTTTGGCCAGGTCGCTTCTGAAAAAGAGCTACATAACTCAGTGGGCCCTACCTGGTAAAATAAAAAAAAATCGTTTCCTTGAGTATGCGGTGGCTATCGATGTCACCCACTTGCATAGCCGGACGAGTGGCTGCTGGCAGAGGTGGTGACGGCCATTCCATACTCGGGGGACGTGTTTCCAAAATGCGGCCACTCAGAAAATGAGGAAGCAGGACATAAACTCGAGGAATGGTCGTCGGCACGAGACACGTTCCCCTTCCGATACAATCCCCAACAGCCCTGCACATTCCACTCACCCTCGATGCGTTGTAACCAAAAAGTGCGCTATGGCCCCACTTCAGGATACCCTAGAGCAGTGGTTCTTAACCTTTACGGCAGCCTTGCACCCCTTTGGTTCTCAATCGTTAAAAAAAAGTACAATGTTACTAAACACACAGGGTTTGATGAGACAAAGTAAGTTGTACTTTACGTGCCCGTGCCTAATTTGTGTTTCGATGATTTCCCTTCTAAAAAACATCTGGCCATGTTTCGCACCTCCAGAAAGGGCATCTCGCCGCTCCCCCCAAGGGGCGCGTGCACCCCGGGTTAAGAACCACTGCCCTCGGGGGTTATCACATGGGGAGAAGCCTGACCTTCAAGCCCCGCGTGAAACAGATCGGTGAAACTACCAAATCGAGAATCACCCTGCTGCAGAAACTTGCAGGTTAACGCCCTGGCGGGCGCCTCGGCCGATGCGCTGCCACCTGCCGCCCCTCTCACTGATCTACTCAGTGGCAGAGTCACCTGGTCCGGGGGAGCTCGTACACAGAACTGCCGGATGCACAATTAAATAACGCGACTAGCATCGTAACCGGAGCACTGAAACCGACGCCAATCCCGTGGGGATCCCTGTTCTGGTGAACATTCTGCCACCAGATATCCGCAGAGACATTTGCGCAAAACTGCAGGGGAGTGGACACGTTTTCTTGCCAACGACCAGCACCTACTCATCAGGAAAGACCTCAACAACGGTACTCGCCGCCAACTCAAGTTCCGATCCCCTTTCTGGGATCGCGCTGCTGCTGTCACTGCCCTAGATCGGGAAGAGAACGCCGCCGGCGAATAGAATGGAACGCAGGAGCCCAGAATAATCCACCTCGTCCCTTGACCCAAACATCACACCTCCTGGCTTACACATCCCAGAAAAGACTGGTTTAACCGTCGCCTGGAATCTCGAACATCGACGGGCTTAACGGAGGTGAAATATCAAAAACTACACAAACTCTCTCCTGAAGCCCTCTCGCGGCGAGTAGACCTCAACTTTGGCATCTAACTCCTGATCGTGCAGCAGAACCCCTGCTCTTAACGACGGTAACTGGTTTCCACGAAACAGGTCATGAAGTGATTTGGTCACTAAGCTAATACACGTTAAAGGGTTACCCTTTTTCACCCAAAAAAATTACTTTATAATATTTAAACAATGTATATCAATGCATAAAGATACAAACAACGTTATAAACACATGATATTAAAAGAAATATGGTTAATAAATGCACTAATAAATATTTACTGTACCTACAATAGCCCGTCGTGAACAGGGGAATGGTCGGTAAGCGAACACACTGGGCTCTATGAAGGCACCACACTATTATACACTACAATAAACACTACACTATACACTACACACTACTATACACTACTATACACCACTATACACTACACTATACACTACTATACACTCTACACTACTATACACTACACTATACACTACTATACACTACACTATACACTACTATACACTACACTATACACTACTATACACGACTATACACTACACTATACACTACTATACACTACATTAGACACTACTATACACTACTATACACTACACTATACACTACTATACACTACACTATACACTACTATACACTACACTATACACTACTATACACTACACTATACACTACTATACACGACACTATACACTCTACACTACTATACACTACACTATACACTACTATACACTACACTATACACTACTATACACTACACTATACACTACTATACACTACACTATACACTACTATACACGACACTATACACTCTACACTACTATACACTACACACTGAGCTCTATGGAGGCACCACACTACTATACACTACACTATACACTCCACTACAATACATTACACACTGAGCTCTATGGAGGCCTGCCGTTAAGCGATTAGTTGTTAACAGTGGTGGTCGTGAAGACAGTTTCTACTCTACACTACTATACACAACACTACTATACACTGCCATACACTGCAATACAATACTATACATGACTATACACCACACTACTATACACTACACTATACACTACTATAGACTACGCTACAATACACTACACTATACACTACTATAGACGACACTACTATACACTACACACTGGGCTCTATGGAGGCACCACACTCCTATACACTACACTATACAATACACTATACACTGAGCTCTATGGAGGCCTGTCGTTAAGCGATTAGTCGTTAACAGTGGTAGTCGTGAAGAGAGGTTCTACTTTACACTAATATACACTACACTACTATACACAACACTGCTATACACTGCCATACAATACTATACACGACTATACACCACACTACTATACGCTACACTATACACTACACACTGAGCTGCATGGAGGCCCGTCGTTAAGCGATTCAGTCGCTAACAGCGGTGGTCGTGAAGAGAGGTTCTACTTTACACTACTATACACAACACTACTATACACTGCAATACAATACTATACACGACTATACACTCTACTACTATACACTACAGATTGGGCTCTATGGAGGTCCATCGCTAAGCGATTCAGTCGCTAACAGCGGTGGCCGTTCAGAGGGGTTCTTACGTATTGCCACACGCAAGAAAAGAATAGAATAATAAACACATCACGAATTAACTCCCTCAATGGTCTCCGTGACCCAAGCACAATTCCGGTTTTCTCCAAAGGCTATCCCGAATTAAACCGCTCCTCCTACGTGGCAAATGGGCTCCGTCCTATCTTCCGCTGCTCTCGCCACCGCAGACCACACCACCCTCCTTGAGTGCCTCCGTAACTCTGCGGGCACAGTTCGTCGGTGGAATGGAGACACCAGTCGTAACAATTCCGACTCTGTGACGCACCACAGCCTTTGCTCGCTCTCGTAGGCGAGGGAACGACTGGAGAGGCGCGAGAGAACGACGAGCCAGCGCCAACAATTTTCCCAAGCTCTGCGGTCCCCTATTAATTAAGGCGTTACCGGACAATTAACGAGCGTTTGCGCAGAGGAGGAAACGGCAGCATCTGGAGAAAACACCCAAAAGCGCGCTACGGGGAAACACTCTCTCATTGTCACAGAACATGTCGAGCCTACATTTTGGCTGTACTGCCGTTCTCCTGGCTAAAATAATAAACCTCACGGGTAAAATTGGCTTTGCTTTCCTGGCTTTTACATTATCACCCGCTCCCTATTTGGTTATATTATAATTGTACACGACTTCCTACCCTTGTTATCTCTCGCATTAAAAAAATTAACATAACAGACGTGGTAAATCAAATCAAATTGGGATGTTACATTTTTTTTTTTAAAAAGTGAAACTGCAACATTTTCTTTTGCTCACGATGAACGGTGATGCCGATGACGAAGGTGAACATGTACGCGTATGTTCAACCCCTCGCACCGTACGTAACCAAACGTGCTAATCGGAGGTTGGTGTGGGGGGGTGTTGAGTTGAGGGACCCTCTCCATGGTCATCAGGGTCAGCTGGAGAGACCTCTGGGAGCATTTCAGCAGAGTGCTGAGACGGCAGACGAAAGAGCGAGCCGGCTGGAGAGCTGAAAGGTGTACGCGAGGCAGACTATGCGCACGGGATGTGCGTACGTACGTTGACAATTTTTTAATGCGCATCGGTGTTTTTCTTGATTAGAACATGTCCCCCGGAGTCTCACTTGTGTTTTTTTTTGTCGAAATCCTTGAGGATCGTTCCGACGTCAGCAGCATTTTTTCAAAAGCTCACAAAGGGACCTCTTTGTGTGAGAAAGAGTTCATCAGCCTGTTGATTCTCAGCGCATGAGCGATTTTAGTGTAAGCTCTACGCCCATGGCCAAAATGCATGTATGTTGAACTTCTTTCGCACCGTACGTAGCCAACCGTGCTAATCGGAGGTGCGGGGGAACGACAACAAACCAAACACAAAGAGCAGTTCGAAAAAAAAATGGAATTTGTCAATCTAGATAATATAATAGTGCATAGCTCCGGCAGCTTCCCAATTACGGTAGGAAGAACGTTCCAGACAGCCGCAGAAGCGCATCTGAACGCGCGCGATGCGGCTGTTCGATGGAGTTCGCGTGACGATGGTTCATGCTCCTTGACGAGATCAGCAAGGTATTGTGGTTCATTTGTGGCAAGCACTTGGTGCGTAATGAGTGCGACCTTATAATGCATTCGTTGAGGAACCCTGGTGCGAGGTTTGGCTCGATACCCGACATTAGCAGCGGTATGACGGGATGCTGGTGACGTGTGGAGTCTCGGACCGCATGAGAGTGACGGGGAGAAAATATGGCAACAAGATATTGATCCGCAGAATCTACAAGCGGACCGCGCACTACTCGTCAACGCAGAGATGAGAATCTTAGCGGCGTCAAACCGCGTAGAGCCAAAACATCACCCCCGTGTTCCGGAAGACAAAGCTCTTAATAAGCAAGCCGTGCACAGTTCGATAAAACAGCATTGGGCGAGGTGCGACTGCAGTTACTCCGAAAAATGAACAACGGACAAAAGCCGTTGATGCCACCGCCCCTCGCCAACGCTTTCTACCCTCCGCCAGATCCCGCAGCTGCTGCACAGCAGACACGGGACCTCCCCCCTACACCACTCCGTAACAGTTCCTCCAAGCGGCGGACATTCAGAATGGTACTGCCGGTGTCGGTGCTGCTGCTGCTACTGCTTCGCACCTTCTCCCGGTGCGGCGCTGGTGGCGTTGCCGGTTGTGTTGGCGCTGTTGTTGGCGCTGGCGGCAGCGGCGGCGGCGGCGGCGGCTAGGGCCCGCGTGGAGCCGCGGGTTGAGCGTGCGAGCCTCCCCGAGCGACGTGGGCCTTGCCCGCCAGAGCTGCTATCGTCGCTCCCCTCCCCGGCCGAGTCCGTGGGCTCGGAGCCCTGCACCTCCATCTCCACCTCGTCGTCTTCCTCGTCCTCCTCCTCATCCTCCGCTTCGTCCTCCTCTTCCTCCTCGTCCTCCTCCTCTTCGTCCTCCTCGTCCCCCTCCGAGCTGCTGACGTGGCTCAGCTGACGTGAGCAGAGGGGGAGGAATTGAGAGTAAACATCTCCACGTGAGATTACTCTATATCAGTCATTCCAGGAGTCGCTCGGTTTTAACAGTGACATCGGTTAAGTGTCCAAAGAGCATCTCAAGACACTGTACAAGACAACCATATGAACATCAAAACTATAAACAAAAGTTCAAGTAACAAAAAAAATCATCATTCTGTTCTCCTGCTATCCCATTGTTGTTTATTGCAACCCAATTTGGTACTGCTTTGTCAGTGCTATTATCATCCTCTACTTTTTACTAAATATGACATATATTCCGACACAATTACCGTAGTTTCCTTCTTGATTTTATTTTATACCTACGTGACTTTACCGAAAGAACCAAAGAGTAGAATTAGTTTCCTGTTCTATGAATGTGAATTCCCTTGGTGCACTTCATTTCACAGAATGTATTTTGCAAACCTTAATGCATCTGATATTCATAGCAAATATATGCGAGCTTCTAATATATTACAGCAGAACTCGTCTTAACGACCAGCCCTGTTAACGACTAATCCGCTTAACGACAGGCCTCCATAGAGCCAAATGTGTAGTGTATAGTGTAGTGTATAGTAGTGTAGTGTATAGTGTAGTGGATAGTAGTGTATAGTAGTGTATAGTACTGTAGTGTACAGTAGTGTATAGTAGTGTAGTGTATAGTAGTGTAGTGTATAGTGGTGTATAGTGTAGTGTATAGTAGTGTAGTGTATAGTGTCGTGTATAGTAGCGTAGTGTGTAGTGTATACTACTGTGGTGTATAGTAGTGTATAGTGTAGTGTATAGGTGTGTAGTCCCTCCATAAACCTCAATGTGTTCGCTTACCGACCATTCCCCTGTTAACGACGGGCTGTTGTAGGTACAGTAAATATTAATTAACGCATTGAGTAACTACGTTTCTTTTAATATCATGTGTTTATAATGTTGTTAGTATCTTAATGTATTAATATCCATTGTTTAAATATTATAAAATACGTTTTTTGGGTGAAAAAGGATAATGTTCGATGCTATCGGAACGAATTAAACCCTTTAACGTGTATTTCCTATATTAGCTTAACGACCAAATCACTTCATGACCGTTTTCATGGAACCAATCACCGTCGTTAAGAGGGGTTCTACTATATTCATTTCATTAATCGTATATATTCAACAAATATTCATTCCCTGGAAGTCTTAAATCAAACACTGCTATCTCTGTACTGTTGGACATTCTGAGAGCACTGAGCTAACGCTTCAAACTTAAATGGTTCGTCAAATTGCTGGTAACATTGCGACATTGCAAAACGAACCCTGTGAGGATCCATCCTTGGGCATGCCAAACGAAAGCGTCGCACGCACGCACGCACAATTTCGAAACTGTTCGTAATGCTGAACGAATAAACCGACTTGTTGATGGCGCTGAACAGCCGCATTAGGGTCCGTCCATAAATGACGTCACGCGATTTTGGACGATTTTTGACCCCAAAAGGCGTCATCTGGTCGAGCACTATCTGGTCGAGCACCAATTGGGTCGAGGCTCAAAAGAAAGCCGTCCCTTGGTGTGGACCAATCAGTTTCAAGGACAATGCATATATTATCATAGTATGTTTTTTGTTTGCATTTTGACTGCAGGTATTGTGGTTAATGCAGACATGAATCCTTGTAAAAAGGTTTCAGTTTTGTTGCCAGAAAAAAGGGGGAAAACCCTATTATTACATTCTGGTACTGGCAAAGGAGGTCTAATAAGTAGAACGTGTTGTCTATATTTAAAGTTGCGCATTTTGATGTGACGTCACATTTCTCACACCCCCCCCTCGTCACACATCGTCACAAATGTCTGACCCCCGCCCCCCCTAGGTGCGTGACGTCATTTATGGACGGCCCCTTAGCGAGCGAGGAGACTCCATTTATCTGCGAATCGATTGCAAATAACTCGACGTCGATTGCTTATGAAACGCTGCGAGAGAGTCCAATTAGGTTGGTAATTTAAGGCAGAACAAGTACGTTGTTTATTAGCCGTTGAACCATTAATGTGAAAGTGCTCCGCTTAATTACTAAACTATTTACTATTTTTTTACTTTACCAGCTAAGGCCGAATATGAGCTATCTATATAGATTTTTTTTCAGAAGCGACCTGGCCACAAATGGTAGCTCAAGCAAGCGGCTCATCATGTTGTGGAAATTTATCAGCTGCAAAATACTCCCAACGGGTGATGTTGATTCTACACGTGGAGGGAAAACCCGGGGGGGGGGGGGGGGGCGCCCGGAAAAAAATCCACGCGACCACGGGGAGAGAGAGACACCGCAAACTCCAAATATAAAGCAGCAGGCGTCAGGGTCGGGATCGAACCCACGACCTCCTGTATTCCACGCGAGGTAGTTAACATCTCCTAGCCACCGTGATGATGATGAGAGAGAGACACGCAAACTCCAAATATACAGCAGCAGGCGTCAGGGTCGGGATCGAACCCACGACCTCCTGTATACCACGCGAGGTAGTTAACATCTCATAGCCACTGTGATGATGAGAGACACCGCAAACTCCAAATATACAGCAGCAGCAGCAGACGTCAGGGTCGACATTGAACCCACGACCTCCTGTATACCACGCGAGGTAGTTAACATCTCATAGCCACTGTGATGATGAGAGAGAGACACGCAAACTCCAAATATACAGCACCAGGCGTCAGGGTCGAAATTGAACCCACGACCTCCTGTAGACCTGACGAGGTAGTTAACATCTCTGTGAATGATGACTGCATCTATGAATGTGAATGACCACTATGAGTACAAATGACTCTCTACGACTGTGACTCTCTACGACTGAGTGACTCTCTACGACTGTGACTCTCTACGACTGTGAGTGACTCTCTACGACTGTGACTCTACGACTGTGACTCTCTACGACTGTGAGCGACTCTCTACGACTGTGAGCGACTCTCTACGTCTGTGAATGACTCTCTACGACTGTGACTCTCTACGACTGTGACTCTCTACGACTGTGAGTGACTCTCTACGACTGCGACTCTCTACGACTGTGACTCTCTACGACTGTGACTCTCTACGACTGTGACTCTCTACGACTGTGAGTGACTCTCTACGACTGTGACTCTCTACAACTGTGACTCTCTACAACCGTGACTCTCTACGACTGTGACTCTCTACGACTGTGAGTGACCCTCTACGACTGTGACTCTCTACAACTGTGACTCTCTACGACTGTGACTCTCTACGACTGTGACTCTCTACGACTGTGAGTGACTATCTACGACTGTGAGTGACTATCTACGACTGTGACTCTCTACGACTGCGAATGACTGTCTACGACTGTGACTCTCTACGACTGTGACTCTCTACGACTGCGAGTGACTCTCTACGACTGTGACTCTCTACGACTGTGACTCTACGACTGTGACTCTCTACGACTGTGAGTGACCCTCTACGACTGTGACTCTCTACAACTGTGACTCTCTACGACTGTGACTCTCTACGACTGTGACTCTCTACGACTGTGACTCTCTACGACTGTAACGCTCTACGACTGTAACGCTCTACGACTGTGACTCTCTACGACTGTGAGTGACTCTCTACGACTGTGACTCTCTACGACTGTGACTCTCTACGACTGCGACTCTCTACGACTGTGAGTGACTCTCTACGACTGAGTGACTCTCTACGACTGTGAGTGACTCTCTACGACTGTGAGTGACTCTCTACGACTGTGACTCTCTACGACTGTGACTCTCTACGACTGTGACTCTCTACGACTGAGTGACTCTCTACGACTGTGACTCTCTACGACTGCGACTCTCTACGACTGTGACTCTCTACGACTGCGAGTGACTCTCTACGACTGCGAGCGACTCTCTACGACTGCGAGCGACTCTCTACGACTGCGAGCGACTCTCTACGACTGCGAGCGACTCTCTACGACTGCGAGCGACTCTCTACGACTGCGAGCGACTCTCTACGACTGCGAGCGACTCTCTACGACTGCGAGCGACTCTCTACGACTGCGAGCGACTCTCTACGACTGCGAGCGACTCTCTACGACTGCGAGCGACTCTCTACGACTGCGAGCGACTCTCTACGACTGCGAGCGACTCTCTACGACTGCGAGCGACTCTCTACGACTGCGAGCGACTCTCTACGACTGCGAGCGACTCTCTACGACTGCGAGCGACTCTCTACGACTGCGAGCGACTCTCTACGACTGCGACTCTCTACGACTGCGACTCTCTACGACTCCGAGCGACTCTCTACGACTCCGAGCGACTCTCTACGACTGTGACTCTCTACGACTCCGAGCGACTCTCTACGACTGTGACTCTCTACGACTGCGACTCTCTACGACTCCGAGCGACTCTCTACGACTGTGACTCTCTACGACTGCGAGTGCCGTCAACACAAAGTGCACGGCGGAGGGAACCGAGGCCTCAAGGGCCTCCGTCAGCCGCTCCCGGGGCCCCACAACTTCACCGTCAAGACGCAGCGTTCCACCTTCCTACGAGGCATTCCTCGTCAGCTCCGCGACGCCGTCGGTGGCGCGCCTTCGATCGGCAAGCGACAACAATCTCCAAAATCTATGAACTCCGATAAACTAATTAATCGAGTGCGAGCGTATAAAGATTAAAGGCCCGATTAACGTCAACGTTGTTTATTGGCGGCAACGCCACGGGAATACAAAAAATGAACTCCCACGGCCACCGTCCGTTACGTCGCCGCTGCCGCCCCCCCCCCACCACCATCATCCCACCGAGGGGGGGGGGGGGTCCTAACGGGGCACGCGATTGGTCAGTTGGAGGTCCCGTGAGCCGTTTTAAACCAATGGCGGCACGCGTCGCGAACGGCCACCGTACACGCCGCTGATGGCGCGCGACGTCAACGGGAAAAACGCGATTCGTAATAACTCGCGAGCTAACGTATTATTTTTTTCGAAGCGCGTAATGGATTTTAAAAGAAAAATAGTTTTTTTTGTTTTATTCAATTTGCAATGTTTAGCAAATATATATGGAAAAAAAATAAGCTTTCGTACAACTTTGTGATCGCAATAATAAAAAAAAGATGTTACATAATCTCGTTGAGTTGCCATATGGGCCCAATAATCATTTGGCTGCGATCAGTGTCCACGTGATAAGCCGCTTCGTTGAGCTATCGTTTGTAATGGTCAGGGCGCTTCTGAAAAAAAAATAACGAATAGCTTAGTCGACTTTACCTGGTAAAATATATATAGTTTAGTTTTATCTTAATTGTTTTAACTAATATGCTTACCTTACCTATCCTTTGCATTCCTCTCGGGTTTTTTAAAAATATATTATTTGTCGTAACTTTCTGATCCGACCCCGCTGGACGTCTGTGCAAAAGAGCTTTATAGCTCATCGTATTTCTCGAGGATAAATAAAAAAATTCTAATTTTAAAACGCGTCCTGAGTGCATTATGCAAATGTATGGCTCCCGTTGGTCTCAACGATCACGGGTTCTACCCATAATGCAATGTGCCCATCAGCATGATATAATTCACCCTTAAAACACAAAATAGTTTACTTCGTATTTGTCTGTCACTGAATAATAGCTACGAATAATGTAACTATTCATACGCCAATTGAAATAGACATGCTCGTCGGTAAACATTTCTTAGAAATGTCATTCTTATCCGGCTCCCATAGTGTAAATGTTCAGTCTCCAACTCTTATTATCCCCATGATGTCTCCAGCGGCATTGCGTTTTTGGTGAAGCGTCTTCGACCGAAACGTCGCTTAAATGGGTTTCCTCTGAAGGGCACAGCAGTGATATTGACGGCTGTAGCTCGATGCGCTATCCCTTTTACAGTAGGGTAACCACGGCCACCACAGAAGATAATTTTCAGTGTGGGATTTTTTTTGGCTTTTGTTATTTTCCATTCATTAATTTGTATTTTTATTATTTTGGTTTAATTTTTTCCATGACTTTACCGGAAGAACCAAGAATATGAATGTCTGCAGTCACGAACGTTTTAAATCAGGAGATAATCCCTTTCATTTTATTTGTGTCGACCGCTTGAACATTTAAACCTCGCTGCTACTGCTGCTACTGCTGCTACTGTTGCACAATCACAACAGCGATGTTTGCTGCTGCTGATGCACATTCACATCGGCGATGCTGCTGCTGCTACGGTTACAGCGGTGCTTGCGCACCGCTGTAACCGTAACAAGCAATGCCAACAAAAAACGTGGAAACGTTCATCTTATGAATGCGAACTTTAATTGAAATATGGAGAACAGGCGACGTTTCGGGCAATGACCCGTCTCACTCCACTCACTCACTCCACTCACTCACTCCACTCACTCCACTCACTCACTCCACTCACTCCACTCACTCACTCCACTCCCCCCCTGCTGCTGGTCCGTTATGGTCCCCACCCGCTCCTGGTCCATCATGGCCCATGCACCTCCTACGTATATCGTGCTCATTTCTATGCTAATTCCTTTGTCAAGCGCTTTGCTTCCTCCCACACAGCTTAAAGGACACGATCTGGGCTTTGCTGTTTTCACTCATGACAGCACGGTCCCTTCACCTGATGAAGGCCACTTGTGTTGTGGCCGAAACGTCGTGAATTTTTGTTGTTGTTTGTTACGTGACTTTACCGAATAGAACCAAAGAGTATGTGTGTGTTTGTGTTTTTTGGGGTGTGTAATGTCGCCCGCATGCCCAGTTACACATTTATAAATCATCTCACCGTGCCCCCAGGGGTCTGTGATGAGACCCACTGGTTTAATTACAGCATTGTCAACCTACCTACCCAACGACACAGTAGGGGGCACAGGTGGTGCATCGGAGATTCATCAGGGTCAGTCGACCCGTGGCACTTCGATCTGCCCTGTGACCTCCTGCCAGAGGGCCTTCGACACATTCACGTGGCCTCAACAGAGATAGAGTGAGCATCTAGCTGTGTGTGTGAGTGAGTGTGTGTGTGCTGTTGGTCAGTCAACCCATGGGCACCTGGGTCTGCCCCGTGACCTCCTGCCAGCGGGCCTTCGACACTTTCACGTGGCCTTAACGTGCACCTAGCCTGGCACAAGCGCCGTGGTGACGCCACTGACACTTAGTGGTTTAATGGCGGTTGTCGTTGGGTAGGTAGGTTGACAATGCAGTAATTAAACCGGTGGGTCTCAACCCAGACCCCTGGGGGTACGGTGAGACGATTTATAAACGCGAGAAATTATAACACGCGTGAGAGAGTCATTGGTGAACAATCACGTACGGTGTGAATCTGCCAATATAAAATAACTACGATAACATTACATCCATATGGTAACCTAAAATGGTATTAAAAAAAACATTCTAAACGCGTTGCTTGCTAACAATGGTGTTTCCAAGGGTAACCAGCGAGCGCGAACAATCTATTTCGCTTGCAGTTAGCTGTGTGCCTATGTGTGTGAGTCTCTCTCTCTCTCTGCTTGTGTGTCGGTCTGTGTGTCTCCATGTCTGTGTTTTGTCTCTCTCTCAAATTTGAGCAATCTTTGGAAGAACGTAATCAACCAGGTGGGGTGTTGACTGTCGTGTTGGCCAACTCTCTGTGTTGTATTGCATTTTATTTCCAAGTTTCCTATGTTTGTTTTCTCATTCATTTTGTACCTGATGATGGTTGCTTGTGTTGCAATCGAAACGTCGTATTTTATTATTTCATTTTATTTCTTTCCACGTGACTTTACCGAAAGAACCAAAGAGTAATTCCTGCAGTCACGAAAGCTTCAAAATCGAGTTTAGTTCGCAGTTATACTTTAACAAATTGTCCTCACAAAATGGACAATTTGTTAGAATGTTTAAGTTCATTATTCATACATCTATTGCTCAGAACCAAGTTGGGTCAGGCTAGGGGAGGGGGGTTACTCGGTTAACACAACAGTCAACAAGGGGGGTAAAGTAGCAGCTTGACAAGGTTGAGAACCACCGCCTTATTAGGTAGAGAGATGGAGATGATCTAAGTTAAGACACTATATGTTTGGAGAGATATATTTGTGTTATCGGATTTTGAAGGATTTTTTTCGGATCATTTATATTATTTAATGATTTAGCAATTTCAAAATTCGGATCGTCCAAACTGATTTTCAGATATTCTTGGTTCTTTCGGTAAAATCACTTAGAAGGGAAACAATAAAATAATACAAATATAAAACAATAAAATTTTCTTGCTGTGGTTTTCACACCTGATGATGATTGCTTGTGTTGCAGTCGAAACGTCGTGGAATTTTATTTTTTATATTTTTATTATTTTATTGTTTCCCTTCTACGTGACTTTACCGAAAGAACCGAGAATATGAATCCCTGCAGTCACGAAAGCTTTAAATCAAAATTAGATTTTCAGATATATATATATTTTCACTTTAATTTTAACATTTGCAGAACATTCCCAGAAGACATGTTAGGTACGGATGGCGAGATGCGAACTCCCTCGCCTTGTCTACAGGATGTCGGGGGTTCGATCCCGACCCTGTGACGTCTGCTGTATATCTGGAGTCTGCAGACGCAAACTCCAAACATACAGAAGGCGTCATAGGGTCGGGATCGAACCCCAGTACTCCTGCATACCAGGCGAGAGAGTTAACATCTCACCACCGTTATGATGATGATAGAGAGACGCAAACTCCAAATATACAGCAGACGTCAGGGTCGGGATCGAACCCACGACCTCCTGCATACCAGGCGAGGTAGTTAACATCTCACCACCGTGATGATGATGAGAGAGACGCAAACTCCAAATATACAGCAGGCATCGTCAGGGTCAGGATCGAACCCACGACCTCCTGCATACCAGGCGAGGTAGTTAACATCTCCTAGCCACCGTGATGATAATGATGAGAGAGAGAGAGAGAGACGCAAACTCCAAATATACAGCAGGCGTCAGGATCGGGATCGAACCCACGACCTCCTGCATACCAGGTGAGGTAGTTAACATCTCCTAGCCACCATGATGTTGATGATGAGAGAGACGCAAACTCCAAATATACAGCAAGCGTCGTCAGGGTCAGGATCGAACCTACGACCTCCTGCATACCGGGCGAGGTAGTTAACATCTATCCACCGTTATGATGATGATAGAGAGACGCAAACTCCAAATATACAGCAGGCGTCAGGGTCGGGATCGAACCCACGACCTCCTGCATATCAGGCGAGGTCGTTAACATCTCCTAGCCATCGAGGCACCACGCTCATACTTACATAAGCGTGTACCACCCTGAATGACGGCCTCTTCATTTCGTGTATGCCATGAAGGTTTGTTTGACCATACTTCACCAAACTGGTCAGTGTGAGTTGGTTCAACAGTGCAGTTCCATGACTGGGGCGGATGTCGTTCAGAGTGGCCGGGTTCAAAACTCAGCGCCCCAACCGCTGCGCCACCGCTCCACCTTGCTCTACCGCTTATGATTCGAGAAAAGTGAAATCAACATTTTGATCAACTGCACAGTTTTTTTATATATTGACACTCACTGCACGTGTGAAGGTCATACTTCGTGCGTACGCGCTCGGCAGCAACATCTCGACGCTGTGAACACTTGACAGAACCCTCCGAAAAGGGATTTGTTGGCCCAAAAAGCGTAAAAATATATTTTTTAAATAGTAACACATGCATTGCGTGCATGTGTGGCAAACGTGTCAGGGCTGTTCCATCCGCCTTGGCCCCGTGGGTGGGGGGGGGGGGGTTGTGGTTGTGCCCCCCCTGCCCCCCCCTTGCAATGGACTCGCCCGCTCCAAGAGAAGCGATGTGGAGACGTGGCACCACGAGGAGAGAGCAGGGGAACAGGGACACGCAGGAGGTCGAGGGGGGATGGAGCAAGAGAGAGAGGAACAATGGAGGTGGACCGTCGGGAGGCTGAGAAGAGAGGAACAACATTCGGAGCGGGAAGGGGGAGAACGGGAGGGGGAACAGAGGAAAAGGATCGGAGTCAGAATGTTAATTTAGACTGGAAGAATCCGATGAGCTGTGAAGCTCTTCTATCGCAGATGTCGAGTATGGACGGGTCAGCAATTTGGGACAGCAATCAATACACACAAAAAGCGTTTGGAGCGCAAAATAGAGAGAGAGAGAAAAAACGATTAGCAAGACACTCAATATCAATGCGTAATTCATGAATAACAGGAGGGAGGCATCAGCAGGAGTAACACAGAGCAATGGAATATGAACGAGAAAGAGAGGAACAGGGGGGAACAATCGGAACGGCGGAGGGTGGGGCAACGGAGGAGAACAGAGAGGGACAAGAGACACGGACCGTGGTATGAAATAACAGAGGTGGAAGAGGGACAGGGGAGACAGCGCAAGGGATGGAGAGAGGAGTAACGGGAGGAGGAACGTCACAGAGATAACGACAGCAAACAGCGGCGGTAGAGCAACAGGAGGGGGGACTGGCGGAACGATATTCGGGAACCAGCAGGATGATGAGACACAGCTGGATGAAGAGTTGCAGGAACTTTAGTGGGGGGAGGGGGCAGGATCAGCAGTTGTAGGAATAGGAGGAAGAAAGGAAGAATAGCAGAGGAACGGGAAATAGCGCTCCAGGGTGCGCGAGGAGGAACAGTCGGAGGAACAGGGAGACGGAGCACTTAGGACATTATTTTTTTGTTTAAACACAGTTGCTGAGCCTAGGGGGTCCAAAACGTCACGGGGCCAGTAACAAAGAGCACGATTTAAAATCTCTTCACAAATAAGGGGGTGCTGTAACACGTCGCTTTGAATGAAAGTTATTGTATAGGAGGGGCTTGGCAGTTCGGGACGATGGGAGGGGCTTCCAGGAGACGGAATTTAAGGGGCAACAGGAGAGAGCGAGAGGAACAGTTGGAACGATAGGAGGGGGAACGGACGGACGGCGGAACGTCTGGAGGAACGGGAGATTAGACGTTTGGAACAAGTCGAGAGGCTGGCAACAGTGGCGGGTATGATATAACCAATCGCAGTTCCGACACACGTGTCACTTTCCTCGCGAGCAAATGTACCAAATCGCAAAAGGGATCTCGTGAACGTCACCGCTGCTCTCGTTTCGCTTCTCGACTCGTCCGCGTTGGAACAAAAAAAAATCAAAATTTGCGAGCGCGCTCCGTCTGAATTCGGTTTTCACACGCGGGCGTTCCGTCGCACGCGACTTTATGGTTGCATGCAACCGCATGACTTATTGAACTCGGTCGCATGCAACTGGATGTAGTGCATCATAAGGCGATTGTGTTGCGGGCGATGTGCGCAACTAAGTCGCTCGGGACTTGGATCGAATTTGAAAGGCGCTGTACTGGTCGGGTTATCGCGATATGGAGATGCTGCTACGATATATATCGCACGATATTACACCCGCGATAATTGCATCGCCTTTGCCTTTTTAAAATACCGTAATCGTCACATCTGCATACATCTGTGTGTGTGTGTGCATCTGTGTGTGTGTGTGTGCGTGTATCTGGGTGTGTATCTTTGAACGTGAAATTCAGTGTCTGTGTATGCACATGTCTGTGTGCGTAGTGGGAGCGGCAGCCCGTAGTGGATAAACCCCAGTTCGATTCCCGCTCACGGTCACCAACAACCGGTGGCGATGATCTGATCCGGTCCCGGGCCACCCGCTAGGTCGACTCAGCCTTACACGAGTGCCTGGTGCGGTGTGCAGTGAACATCGCCACTTAGGGGGACAAAGGCGGTCCGGGCGGGGTGTTGGCCACCCACGGCCTCGTGTTGCCGTGCCGGCCTTCATAGTTTACTACTCGCGAGCAGCACTTGCCCTAACAAGTCTGTTCAGGGCTATATATGGAGGAGCTTTATCTTTTGTGTGTGTGTGACGCATGACCCTGTTGGGCGACTTTGTATGAAGTCTGGGCGCGGTTTTTCCCCGCGGGTAGCTCCGCGAGGTTGTGTTTGTGCGTGTGTCTGTATGTATCTGTGAGTGTGTACGTATCGATACGTGTACACGTGTCCACGTGTCTGTGTGGGGAGCGGTGGTGTAGCGGTTAGCGCGCTGCGCTATGAACCCGGCGACCCGGGTTCGGATTCCCGCTCACGGCCAACATCCAGTGACGATTATCTGAACCGGTCCTGGGCCTCCCCTAGGTCGACTCAGCCTCGAATGAGTACCTGGTGCGGTGTGTAAACATCGCCACTAGGGAGGCAAAGGCGGTCGGGCGTGGTGCTGGCCACCCACCTCCTCGTGTACCGTTGCGGCCTTTATAGGTGCTCGCTAACAGCACTTGCCCCTACAGTCTGCTAAGGCTATATAGGGGATCTTTGTCTTTGTATGTTTCTGTGTACGTATCGATACGTGTACACGTGTCCGTATGTTTATTCCCTGTAATGAGGCGGTGGCGCACTGCGCTACGAACCCTTCGACCCGAGTTCGATTCTCGCTCCAGCGGCGAGTGATTGTCCGAAACGGTTCCTGGCCCGCCTCTGGGTCCACTCGGCCTTAAATTATTACGACCTGGATGCGGTGTCTAAACGTCTGCGCTGGGGAGACAAAGGCGGACGGGCGTGGTTACACCCCACCCCACCCCACCTCGTGTGTGTGACAGCCTGCGGACGCTATACGGGGGACCTTTTGCATGCGGTCCCGCGCGAGTTTGTTGCGGGGTAGCTGCGCGCGCGCGCGCGCGTCTTGCCCGGAATAAGTGCGGAGAGGAACGATGGTGGAGACGTCACGGCCCAGGATGAGAATGATTGCCTGATTAACCATGCTGTCATCAGCCATCCATTGTCTGAGGCCCAGACCAACCCCCCCCCCCCCACCTCTCTGATGCACGTGTCATCATCATCAGCGTTATCAGCAGCAGCAATATCATCAGATATCAGCAGCATCGGCATTGCACGGCAGCATCGCCAGCAGAAGCGTGAGCCATGTACACGTGCTGTACGTGGAACTTCTTTCGCGCCGTACGCAGCCAACCTTTTCGCTGAGCAGTTGGAAAGAAATGCCACGGTCTATCCACTGCTGAATGAAGACCCCCCCCCACCCCCCGCGTAGTCTCGCGATGCCGCGATGCCGCAATCCATGTCGATCCTGCCCATGCGCTAGACTCGGTCGTCACATCGTCTGCACGTGTTGCACGTGCTGCACGTGCTCTCGGTCCACGCTGTCGCCTGCAACTATCATTCCATCACCAGGGCTTGCCCGGTAGCCACGGGGTCCCTTCGAGCCAGAGCGTGCCCCGACCAAGCCAAACTCACTTTTATTATTAACAGTCAATGCGATGTCTCCCCCTTCCCTCTCTCACCCACCCCCCTCCCTCCGTCACCCCCCCCCCCCTTCTCCTCTCTCCCTCCATCTCTCTCTCTCTGCTCCTTCTCGCACCCTCCCCAGCTGCATCCCTCTTGGCCCTCATCTCTCGCTCCCTCCCATCACCCCATCTCCCTCCACCTCCTTCTCCCCTCTCCCCCACTCTCCTTTCCTCTCTCGCTCCCCATTCCCCCTCGCTCCATCCCTCCCCCCCCACCCCATTTTCTCTCTCCCTCCTCTCTATTCCCCCCCCCCGCCCCCCAGAACGTCGTCAGCACAAGCCGCGCGCCGTGAGCTCAACAAAAAGTCATCAATGCTTCATCGTCAGCCACGGTCTATCCACTGCTGGATGAACACCTCTCCCCAGCCCACCCTCCCCACCGACGCCCCCCCCCCCCACTCCCCAAAGCTCACGCGATGCGACAATTTGAGTGCGCGCGAGGAGCCGATCCCATCGCTCCATCTCCGCGGTGATCGTCGTCTGCGCCGTGAAGTTATTTTTCTACAACTCCCTTCTCCTCCTTTGACCGTCGCTCCGCCGTTAGTCTCGACCACGCATCGAGTCGCGTGCACGTCCTGCGGCCGAGCCGTGTTACATCCCCGCACCCGTGTGGGAATGCCGGCGGATTAGGGGAAGGCCTTCATCCAGCAGTTGATATATCACGGGTGGTGGTGCGTGATGATGATGATGATGAAATAAAGGATGCGTGTGCTTGTGTGTGATGCCCGACGTTTCACTCCACGTGCCGGGAACTTCTTCAGGAACTGATTTGAACAGATGCAATCTCTGTTACAAGGCATCGCCCTGAAATTAAAATGAATGTTCTGCGGAGGGCGAAGTACTCGGTTCACCGACGGTGATGACGACGACGATGTGGATCTCGCACACCTGCCAGAGTTTATCGTGAGCAGTGTGGAACTCTAGACCAAGTCCTGCCCTATATGAGAGACATTTACCAACACGTATGTATGTTGAACTCTTCTTTGGTTCTTTCGGTAAAGTCACGTGACTTTACCGAAAGAACCAAAGAAGATGAATCATTGCAGTCACGAAAGCTTTAAATCGAAATTTATGTTGAACTCATTGTGCGATGTACTGACGTCGCGGGCACCACGTGTATGTGGGTGCAGTACCGGCCATAGAGGGTCTCGGTGAGCGCTGACTGGAAGTCCTGGGTGGCACCACGCTCTGCGTGCAGTGCAGACCCCTACAGAACAGGGTGTGAGAATGCCGGCCATGTGGTTACAAAGGGCCATGGCACTCCGCTTGACCCCGAAGGACACGTGACCGTTAAAGTCTACACAGGGCCATCCCAGGTGGGTGCTAGGGGTGGTCACGTGTCAGGGTCGAGATCCTGCTGGAGGCTTCTAGAAGGCGGTCGTGGCTAAGGGCGCAGCCAGCCACGCCACGGAGGATAAAGGCCGAGTCCCCGGGAGGGACCGGCTGCTGTTGTTTCATCCTGAAGAAACCATCGTCTACGTTCTACGTCCTACAGACTCTCCAACACGTGGAGCCGGACCCGAGCTGTGGTCCGGTCCGTATAGTAGCTGGTGGTCACCACCCGGTTAACTATACCAGTCACGTTGTAAGTAGCGCAGTTAGCCTGGTGGTCAGCACCATCGGTTGTTATCTGGTTAAGGGGCAGTTACCCCGTTGTGTTGGTATTAATAAATGTGTTGCCTCTAAAGAGTACGTCTGCGACTCAGTTGAATTCACTACATTATTTCGCACCGTACGTAGCCAACTAATCGGAGATGCGGGGGGACAACAAATTCAACGCAAAAAGCAGTTCGAAAGAAATGAGTTTGTCAGTCGGGATGATTTAACAGTGCATAGCTCCAGTGGCTTCCTAATATCGGAAGGAAGAGCGTTCCAGACGGCCGCATGCATACGCACACCGCACCTCCGGTTAGCACGGTTGGCCAAGCACGGTGCGAAAGAAATTCAACACACGTACATACACCGCACCTCCGATTAGCACGGGTGGCTACGTACGGTGTGAAAGAAGTTAAACGCACGTACGCACACCACACCTCCGATTGCCACGGTTGACTACGTACGGTGCGAAGGAAGTTCAACGCACTTACGTGCGCACGTTTAAAAATGTAGAATATCCGAGCACCTGGAGAAAGATCCGAGCAGTCTATATTCCCGTACATGCGGAGGTGACAGATGTTTCTCAATTTAGTGTACTGCCTTCTCCTGGCAAGCCAGGAGTGGGGCTCCTCTCGAACGCCGACAGAACCCAGAAGGAAAGATAAAAAACCGGGAGAAGACGCCACCCAACGCATACGCAGGTGAGTGACGCTAAACATTAAACTCCCCACAGACGGATTCAGGAATCCACAGCCGCATTTCCATCTCCTGGTCATCGCCAGCGTCTTTGTGTTTTTGGAGGTAACTGAGGTTAAAAACGTGATGAAATATTTAATCATCTCGGGCCACAGGACTAGGACCAGCGGTATCGAACGGAGCAAGAGGGCCCTCGCCTCGAAACGTCTGGCACTTGGTTCAAGCAAAGCCTGACTGCGCTGCTGATGAGACGCTGAATGTGGAAACCGGTCCATGTCTTTAAACATCTGTAGGCAGCTCACCAGCACTGACTGGTTCAAGCAGAGCCTGACTGTGCTGCTGATGAGACGTTGAATGTCGAAGGCGTTCCAGAGTTTTGCTAGTGTTGAACCGATGCTGCTGATGCACCTGCCAGAAGATTGTGCGGCTCATGTGATGTGTTTTTTTTAATGTTACATATTTAATTAACGTACGTTTTATGCAGACGGACAGATACGGGAAGGAGGGGTGGTGAAGTATGGTCGAACAACCACGCATGCCCGACACGGGCGTGGGAAGGCCTTCATCCAGCAGTAGATTGCCCAAGGGCTGTGATTTATCACTGCCGTCGCATTTCCTGGATTATAAGACGCACTTATAGGACGCGCTCCCCTGTGTTCGAAAGCAAAAGTTGGGAGTGCCTCCTGTCATCCGATAGGCGCGTGTGTGTGTTTGTGACGAGGGTTGTGTTGCTGCCACAACGTTATGGGTAGAGGTAGTGTAGTAGATTTTGATTTAAAGCTTTCGTGACTGCAGGGATTCATATTCTTGGTTCTGTCGGTAAAGTCACGCAGAAGGGAAACAATAAAATAATAAAAATATAAAACAATAAAATTCTCACGACGTTTCGACTGCAACACGAGCAATCATCATCAGGTGTGAAAACCACAACACATTTTCTTGTTGTGGTTTGCACACAACAACTTTTCTTGCTGTGGTTTTCACACCTGATGATGATTGCTTGTGTTGCAGTCAAAACGTCGTGATAATTTTATTGTTTTATATTTTTATTATTTTATTGTTTCCCTTCTACGTGGTGACTTTACCGAAAGAACCAAGGTAGTGTAGTCGTTGTAGCGGTCAGCGCGCTGCGCTACGAACCCGACCACCCGAGTTCGATTCGCCGCTCACGGCCAACACCAGCGACGATTATATGAATCGGTCCTGGGCCTCGCCTAGGTCGACTCAGTCTTAAACGAGTACCTGGTCCGGTGTGTAAATATCGCCACGAGATTAAACGAATGCGGCCGGGCGTGGAACCTTGCCACCCACGACCTCGTGTGCCGTGCCGGCCTTCACAGGTGCTACTCGCGAGCAGCACTTGCCCCAACAGTCTGTTACAGGCTATACGTGGGGGTCTTTGTCGATAACTTTTAAACTAAACTACATTGGTGGCTGATTTCCGATGGTGCGGTTGATTCTGCAAGTGGTGATACCAGCTGCCAAGCAAGCAGCTTGAAGCTGCTGGTGAATGCTGCTGTTGCTGATGCTGCAGCCACTATTGCTGCTGCTACCACTGCTGAAGTTGCTGCTTCTCACTGTAACCTAGGGGTGCTGCAGATCTTGTCACCCATCTAAACTAAACACATCTTTCTATGTTACCAGGTAAGGCCCCACACTGAGCCATGTAGCTCTTTTTCAAAAGCGACCTGGCTATCACAAATGAAAGCTCAACGAAGTGGCTTCTCGTCACGTGGACATTTATAGCAGCCAAATGCTCTTAATTGCGTGATGTCGAATCTGATTGTGGAGGGAAAAACCGGAGGGCCCGGAGAGAAAATCCACGCGACCACAGGGAGAGGGAGAGAGAGACACCGCAAACTCCAAATATACAGCAGGCGTCGGGATCGAACCCACGATCTCCTGTAGACCAGGCGAGGCGGTTAACATCTCGCCAACCGGACACACACTAGCGATGCGTCTTATTATCCGGAGCGCCCTATACTCCTTCGAAGCTGTGATGAGTTTATACTGGTAGGAACCTCCTGGTTACACCAGCCCACACGGGATTATTGTGTCCGTCCGTCCGTCGTGCATCCAAAAATTGTGAGGGGTGGGGCTGGGTGGAGAGGGGAGGGTGGAGAGGGGCTGGGTAGGGAGGGTGGGGCTGGGTGGGGAGGGAGGGGCTGGGTGGGGAGGGAGGGTGGGGAGGGGCTGGGTGGAGAGGGAGGGGCTGGGTGGGGAGGGAGGGTGGGGAGGGGCTGGGTGAGGAGGGTGGGGAGGGGCTGGGTGGGGAGGATGGGGCTGGGTGGGGGGTGGGAGGGGTGGGGCTGGGTGGGGAGGTGGTGGCTGGTCACCCCGTGGTGCCCTTATAAAACTCAACGTTTAACCTACTCACGCCGGCTTGTGCCCGCCCTCACAGTCGGGCATATTGTGCGGAATACACCACGTGGTGCCGCCGTTGACCCTGGCCATTGACCGAGCAACCCAACGTTCCTACCAGCTCCCTCCGCAGGAGAATGTGTTTTTCATACCGACTCATTCGCAACAGACTCCGCTCCCCTCTGTCGGCAAGATACAGCAACTGCAGGTGTACGCATTGACATCTCCACAAATATCCCGAGACGCCTGGAACAGCGTGTGGAAGAATAGGCCGAATGCACTCTCAATATACTCCCGAGAGCCCCCGCCTAAGCAAAGGCCCAGGACATTGCAGGGCCGCGCCTTTACCTGCCACTCGAACGCACCCAGCCGCGGCATTGTGCGACCCCCCGATTAGCACGTGTGGCTACGTACGGTGCGAAAAAAGTTCAACGTACAGTGCATATATTGGGATAACATTTTTCAAAGTTACACGGATCGACCATGGTGGAGCTTTGCCTGGTGTTGTGAGTCGACGGGGATGGTCTTAGGTCAATGTTGGCGTTGTTATTTTTGTGCCAAGGTTAACTTGGTCTCTCCCCTATTCTATTTAGAATGTGTATCCAGCGCCCTGCCCAGGGAGCCTCATAACGCAAACCAACGAGGGGGGGCGGGGGGGTACACAAAGGGGCAAAAAAGGGGTGGGGGGGGGAGCGGTTGGGGTGGAGCGGGAGAGGTGACGCAAGAGATGGAGTTGACAGGGGCCTGGGAATGGAGCTGCTGATGTCACAAGGGGTTAGCGAAGGAGGAAATCGGTGGAGCGTGACGGTGAATGGGGGGGGGGGTGACTGATGGGTGCAACGTGAGTGAGAGGCAGGGGGGGGCGCATATTTCACCTAACCCCGACTCTAAAGCCAGTACATAAAGCAAACTATGTTATCGAAAATAGAGAGGGGGGGAGGGGGGGGTTTGGGTTAGATCTATTATGGATGATATTGGTCGCGAAAGCCTACACGTGTTAAACAAACGATTTTATTTTAGCCGGTAAGGCCACTCGGCTTTCACAAACGACAGCTGGGATGAGTGGTTGATCATCGCACGGAAATTTATAGCAGCATAAGCAGACCCTATAATACGGGGTGTTTCAAAAGATGGACCCAATTTCAAAGCAGTATATTTCACGATGGCAACATGTTACAACTACACAAAAAGTTACGAACGGTTTAATGAGTCATCAAGTTTTACTAACCATTTTATAAATGCTCTATGTGCCCTCCACCTGCTGTATGGAAAACATCGAGACGCTAGTTGAATTCGTCCCAAACACCTCTCAAAATGTCTTCTTCCACTGAAGTCACCGCTGCCGTGATTTTATTTTGAGGTCATTCAGCTTAGTCGCTAATGGTGGCACAAAAACACCACGGTCTTTTGTGCCACCGTGCTCTTTGAGATTGGCGGATCAATGCCAAAACGCCGTTGAAACGCACGCTGCACCAGCAATAACGGGTTCAGTCTTGCTGAACTGCAGAACGCAAAAGGCCCCTTGTGTTTGCGGGGTCACCGTCTTGCGCATGACTGAGGCTAGAGGCTGTTTGTGTGCTGGGAGAGGCATCGAGCGGTCATCATTTTAAACTCTGTGCCCCGCCCTCTCTATGCCCCGCCCTCTCTATGCTCCACCCTCAGAACCTCCACGTCTCTGTGCCCCTCTCTGTGCCCCACCCTCTCTATGCCCCGCCCTTTCAAGTGGTAAGAGTTACATTCATGGGCGGTTCGTGATTGCAAAGACATAGCGATTTCAAATCGGGTCCATCTCTTTGAAACACCCTGTTTTAGCCTTCATATATTGGTGCCTGCACGTAAACAGAATTCACCGTTACGTCTTACACGACCCATAATTTGAACAGCAGTTTAACACCTAGCGGGCTTTCGCGACCAATATTATTCATAATAAAGGTTTTTGGTTCAGGTCGCGTTGGTATGAATGTGTACTTAGGCGATCTAACCCAAAAACCTTTATTATGAATTTGAACAGCATTCATTCAAATACTTCTGGAC